CTCCAGTCTGGGCGACAGAGTGAGACTCCAACTCAAAAAAAAAAAAAAAAAAAAGATTTAAAATGTATCCCATCTCTGTCTCTTTGTGCTTATGAAGCCATTGCTTATCCTTCTAGGTAAATAGGAATATCTAATGTTGCCAGACATTTTCTATCTGACTTAGTGTTGTTGAGTCAAGGTCAGGTGGTAGAAATTTACTCACTTAAGGCTTGTTTTCTTACATTGTACTTTGTTGTTTTTTGCCAGAGTTACAGCATGTTTCTTTATCTACTCTCTCAGGAAATACCAGACCTCTTTAAAAAGTGAGAGGGTTGATGTGACATCCTGTATTTTCTCTATTTTAAGCCCTAGTATTTTAAGCATGTTTAAAGGGACAACTATCCTTTTTTGTAAACTGCTAAACATGGGAGGTGTCAAAGGATGGGCAGCATTGGAAACAGGAAGCCAGTAGCAGACACATAAAGACAGAAAAGCCCTGCTGTGTCAAGATGGGGTAGGAGGTAGCAGGTGTGCGAGTGAGAGACTAGTGATATGAACGGTATTCAGTGAGTACCTGTGAGATGCCAGGTATTATTATTCTGGGGCCCTTAATTATTGTTTATTTTATTTACTTTTTACTACAGTGTGGTAGGTGATCTTCTTTATTTTACAAATGGGAAGGAAGTTAAGTCTCAGAAAGTATAAGTCTTTTCTCTAGCATCCCATAGCTAATGAGCAGAGAAGTCAGATTTAGAAACTAGATGTGAGGACAAAGCCCACATTCTTTCTAATATTAAGAAAGAAAAATAGGACAATCAGTAGATGAGGCAGCTGGAAGAAGTGGGAGATGGACAGAACTAGTGTGTTGTGCAGGAGACATGATGTATAGAACTTGCCTTCTAAGACAAACGCTTAGCTTTTGTGTTGTCAACAAATGGGCAAATCCAGCAAGAGACGGCCCTTGGTCGAGAGGGCATAGTGCAGGGTAGGAAATCGAGACATAAATCTAGTGGTCCTCAACAAGTCACTCAAGTCTTGTTGCTTATGTAGGAGGCAGGATTTTGGTAGTTTCTGAAAATATCTTCCACGTTTAATACTCTAATTTTAGATGCTCTCGTGACCTTAGACTTGACTTTATCTCTAGGTTGAAAAATTCAGTAAAACAATAATAAAGATAGTTAACATTTAGAGAGTGCCTCCATGGTGTGCCAGATGTTGGACTAAATACAAGTATTTTTCATGCCTTTATCTCACTTAATGCATACAACAACTATGGAGGTAAGTACTAAATACTGTCACCTTCTCCATTTTATAGATGAGGAAACTTGGAGTTTGAGGCGGAGCAACTTACCCACTGTCACTTTGTGTCATGTGCAGAGCCAGGACTCACACCCAGGACTATCTGACTTGCAAGCCGATGCGCTTTATCACCATACAATACTAAATTTATATTATGTGAAGGATAGGGAAGACTTGAGGAGAAATCTCTTTTTTTCCCCCTTCCTTTTCAGATTTTTTTCTCCTTACATATTTAGGGCTTTAGATGTACCACATTTTTTTTTTTTTGAAAATGTGGAGTACAATTCAGGGTTAGGTATACAAATGTTCATTATGCAGGTACCCTTGTTGATGAGGTGTGCCCTTCCCCCGGCAGTTTTCCAATACTGCCAATCCCATGCTCCCCCCGTCAGTTTCCAACTAGATGTACCACATCTTTAAAATAAAAATGATAAAGTGCTTATTATAGTGCCAGCACTCAGTAAATGTTAATGTTACTTAAACATTTTTTTCAGCTACTGTGAGAATACACTAAAATGTAATTTTTCCAGATTTTCTTTTTTTTTTTTCTTGCCTGCTTGTTCTGAGGCACAGACCTCTTCTAAACAGTACTAAGAGACGGATCAGGAGAAAATAAGAAATTTGTACAAATTCATTTTAAACTTTAAAAACATTGTTATTGTTACTCAGCAATAAATTTTTAGATTGTGTTTAACCAAAATTTGTGATGTCTGCATATCTCACTCATGTGGAAGCTAATCAAGTTGATCTTGTGGAAGTGGAGAATGGAAGAGTGATTACCAGAGGCTGGGGGCGGGGGACGTGGGAGGGGGGGAACGGGAGCAACTGACTCATGGATGTAAAGTTATAGCCAGGTAGGAGAGGAGTAAGCCCTAGTGTGCTGTGGTGCTGCAGGGTGACCATAGTTAACAATAATTTATTGTACATTTTTAAACAGTTGAAAGAGAGGACTTGGAATGTTCCCAACATAAAGAAATGATGAACGTTGAGGTGATGCATGTGCTATTTACCTAATTTGATTAAATATTGGGCACAGGTATCAGAATATCACAAATAGCCCATAAATATGTGCAATTATTTTGTGCCATTAAAAGTAATTTTTAAAATTTACTGTAAAAATTTATGCTATCATTTTCCCTTTAGAAGTTCTGTTTATTAGAGAAACCTTGAGAAAGACCAACTATCGTACTAGGATGTATTAATGAAAATCAGTGGAAAAATGATCTTATCTAACGTTTCCTTGCTTGTCCTACATTAGAAACACTGATTTCACCGGTTTTCTCTGTGACCTAGTAAATTGGAATACATTGGCTTCATTGATGTGGACTCTCTTCTGTAGATGTCTGCTCCAATGAGGATCTCCCTGAAGTTGAACTGGTGAGTCTGCTAGAAGAACAGCTGCCACAGTATAGGCTAAGAGTCGACTCGCTCTTTCTGTATGAAAATCAAGACTGGACCCAGTCCCAACACCAGCCACAACATGCATCCGATGCCCTCTCACCAGTGCTTGCCGAAGAGACTTTCCGTTATATGAGTAAGTATTTTTTTACCCTTTCAGAGTTTGTGCATTGAAATAGAGATTATGGGTATTTTGGCATTGACTTTTAAAAGCTTTGGCATTTGGTAGCCATTTCAGTGTATACCTGCCTTAACGTGAGCTGGTTAGCAGGAAGAGGGCATGCTAACTGTTATGTCTGAATACAGAAAGTTTGTCATCCTTGTGACTCTGAGTACCCAGTGTTGCACACTTAGATGTCTCCATTTCTTCCATCTATCATTTGATATTTTCCTCGAACTGAGTAGAAAAGGAAACTTTTTAAAAAGTGAAATTCCAGCCGGGCTCAGTGGCTCAGCCTGTAATCCTGCGCTTTGGGAGGCTGAGGTGAGTGGATTGCCTGAGCCCGCGGGCTGGAGACCCACCTGGGCAACTTGGCGAGGCCTCATCTCTACAATAAATCAAAAATTAGCCGGGCGTGGTAGCGTGCGCCTGTAGTTCCAGCTACTTGGAAGGCTGAGGCGGAAGTATCACCAGAGCCCAGCAGGTCGAGGCTGCGGTGGTCAGGAGCAGCCACTGCACTCCAGTCTGAGCGACAGAGTGAGACTCCAACTCAAAAAAAAAAAAAAAGTGAAATTATTTGAAATTTTAATATTTCTTTATATCTCTCAACATTTATTATCATCACAGTTTGGTATCCTGAGCCATCAGCATTTTAACTCTTATTGTCCCTATTAAACACAGTCTCAGCAATTACGACAGTCATTAAGAAGCATAGTTCAGGGCAACCCCTCGGGTCCCCTTCCACTGTGGGAGCTTTTCTGTCTTCTTAATAAATCCTGCTTTCTCCACACACACACACAAAAAAGAAGCATAGTTCTTAGATACATAAATAGTTTAACAATGCCAAGAACAAATAAGTGTACATTTTTGGGGATTCTCCATTATTTGCCTGAAAATTCCCAGAGAATATTTTAGCTAGAGGCTGAGTCAGATTTGTCTTGAAAATAGGTCTGTTTTATACCAAGCTGTTACAAATGACAAAATTAAATAAATTCTTCAACTTTGAAATATGGAGGCCTTTTTGCATTTTTCCTCATCCCAAAAATCTATATTATGTCTGAGATTACTTTTTTAAAACTTTATTTGGTATAAAAATGCTGTGTGTGTAGTAGCTATTAGACTATATAATAAGTTTGTAAATCTAACAGTGGGATATGTATGTAAAAATTTAAAATTAGAATGAGGTATGAAATTGCATCAGGTCCTAGATATTTTCTCAGGAAGTACTTCAGCGTTTTAATGTCAGGTTGTTGTTGAAGAATGATTGTTGTGAAATACTCATTTTCATGGTAATCATTAACTTGCTTTTAGTAGTGGCTTCCTAGAACTTAACTGCTCAGAAAAAAATTGTAAACATTATTTAAACTTTAATTGAAATGTCAATAAAGTCAAATAGAATATATTTCTATCCTTAATATTTATGTAGCTGAATTAAACTAAATTAAGACTTCTAAGCTTTTCTTAACATTTTAGTTTGAGAAATTGGCAGGGCTCAGTGGCTCAGCCTGTAATCCCAGCACTTTGGGAGGCCGAGGCCAGTGGATTGCCTGAGCCCACAGGTTTGAGAAATTGTTTGCTTGAGATTTTCTGGAAAATAATTTTTTAAAGGAACAGTAATTTTTCTTTTCATTTCCTTTTGTTCCTTGAGCATTTAAATTTGTAGAAGAACTTTCAAACTGAAATGTTTTCAGGATAAATTTAGTTTGTCATTATTTTATTAAAGTATTACAGAAAGTGTCCCTTGTTTTATTTTTTCTTTGTCCTATAGGCTACTGAGGTACGGAACTATAACTAGAAAGATGTCTTAGATCACAATTTAATGGAGTTACTTTTAGGATGAAATTTAAATAAAAAGACCAGAAAAATGAGGGGTAAACAAATTCTAAAATACTTTTCAAGATTTTATACCAAACAAATCACAGTGTTCAAGGGAGCAGTTTAAAACTTGAGATTCATAGGGTGATACAGATCCATGCTTCAAGTTTCTGGAAAACTGTCCTTTTTTTTTTAGTCCAGTGGTACTGTTTTTACCTCATCAATCTGAAAATTGAACCATATATTATATACCTAAATCATGAAGCAAATGTGCTAGGATTGTCATTGGACCACTGGTACTTTACCTCTGTGCTGCACTTTAATTTTATTGGGTTTTTAAAGGTATCAATTCTTTGGGTTAATAGTTCAATCAAATGTAAATAAACTTCATTATGAACTTGCATCTTACGAATGTAAAACTAAGTGGTTTATTTTATTTAGCAGATTGACCAGCCAAGGTTTAATAAGCAAGACATAAAACATCTCTCACGCTTTCCCAAAGTTTTCCATTGCCTGAGATATCAAGACTTGTGGGTTTGAGTCATTATGATGTATCCTGGCAGGCTGTCCAGGCTGTTCAGCTCCCTGATGTTACTTCAGCCCTTCTTACCCCTCTTATCCCTACTTCCCTACGTGCCAGTGGATGCCTGTGGTCATTAAAATGACTTTTTTTTTTTTTTGAGTCAGGATCTCACTCTGTTGCCCAAGCTGGATAGAGTATAGTGGCACGATTACAGCTCACTGCAACATTGGATTCCTGGGCTCAAGTGATTCTTCCACCTCAGCCTCCCGAGTAATTGGGACTACAGGCATGTGCCACCACACCTGGCTAGTTTTTTATTTTTTTGTAGAGATGAGGTCTCACTGTTGCCCGGGCTGGTCTCAAACTCCTGGGCTCAAGCAATCCTCCTGCTTTGGTCCCAAAGTGCTGGTGTTGCAAGCATGAGCCACCACACCTGACCTAAAATGACTTTCAACAACTAGTAAAAAGAGGTAGCACTGCAGAGACACTTTTTCTCTTATTTAACCTAAAGAAATCAAAAGATCTATGGGAAGGAAAGTGATTTGGAAGGAAATGTGGGCAGCCTTTGGGGTTGGGAGCCTATCTCACAGGAAGGGGGCAGGGGCAGTGGTTCTTTGAAGTCACCCAAACTAGAAAGAGATTATTTACTTTTAAAATAGAATACTTTGAGAGCAATCAGCAGGTCCAAAAAATAATTTCATCCTGGTCCCTGCCACACACACGCAGAGTTTGAGATGTTCAAAGAATGTTTTACACGCAGCTCGGGTCACTCCAGGGAAACCCCTGATTTTATTAAGACTGAACTCCAGAGTGAGCTGGGGAAGCCAACTAGTCAGAACACACATTACAGAAAGTGCCATGTGTTCATATAAAGGCTAAAAATAGAAACCTGCTCTGCCTTTAAGGGGATTTTATGTGGGAAGAGGGTCACCTGTACCACTTCCTAAGGCATAAGAAAAACAATTGATTATGTAAGTTCTGTTTAAGGTAGAGGTTCTCAGAATGTGAACTCCGTTATCAGTGTCACTTGGGAAGTTGTTAGACATGCACATTCTTGGGCCCCACCCCACCCACAGAATCAGAAACTCTGGGGGTGAGATACAACCTTCTGTTTTGACAAGTCTTCCTGGTGATACCGATGCGCAGGCAAGTTTGAGAACCAGTGTTATAAAGCATAGTCACCCAAAGCTGAGTGGCCATTTCATAGTGACATTAATTGAGGAATTAAGGAATTAGGGAGAGTATACAATTTTGCAGAGAAATACAGTTGTAGAAATTACTGCTTCCAATTAGTAGGTACACTTTTCCTCAAGCTCTGTCCTCAGAAATCATTAACCTGCACTGGCAGGAAAGGAAATAGGACTGATAATGGTCAGGAAGCATTAACTGTAAGCCAGGTCACAGAGGTTAGCAGACTTATAATTCCCCTGGATCAGCTCTCTCAACCAGTTCCACGATGGATTTAAGTTGTATGCCCAGGACATCTGTTGTATCCTGGATTACTGTCTTACCTGTGCATCATGCCCTGTGTTGTACTGTCCTTGGGAGAATTGAGAAAACTATCCTGTCTAGGGCTTGCTTCTCCTGTGAGAAAGGCTGCCCTAGACAGTGTGTCTCCTCAGTCTCCTTTTTGTTCTGCCTCAGTTCTTTTGAATGAAGTTTTTTGTGTTGCAGAAATATTCTCTGTATTTTAGCAGCAGGAACAGCCATCATTTCTTCAGGGCTGAAATCCCAGAACTGTCTAGTAGTCAGGAGCTCCTGCAGCTTTTCCTAGTTCGTGTGGGTACTGCATGTGATTCCTTTTTGATATGTTGTTGTTTTGGTTTGGTTTTTGGTGTGAGAAGGTTATAGAGTGATTCGAGATTAAATTCTTTTTAAAATTCTGTAATTGTGGTAAAAACTCTAGATCCAGAAAAGGGACATAAGAGAACTATTGAATTCTATCTCATATACATGTAAATGACAGAGAGATCAGAATGAATCAACACTGGCATTTCCTATCCTGGAAATAATGTGAGATTGCTGTGGTTGATGTGAAATGATAAGAATATATAAATATAAAGTAAGGACTAGTGAAGTGCTTCTGTATATTCAACTCCTACCATATATTTAAATATAATATAAAATGAGGATTAGTGAAGTGTTTCTGTATATTAAACTACCACCTTGTAGTTTCAGGAACATTCTACAAAATAATATACCAAAAATGTCAGACATTAATTAACAACCTTTGGAAACATAGTTGCAAAATTGTTCAATAAAATTATTTATCATCTCCTTAATGGATAAATTTTTTTTTAGAGAATTAGAAAAGTTCATGTTTGGACATAGAAAAGATCACTGCTAATTTCTGTGTCATTTAATATTTTTATTTTAACAGCTGATAACTGAAGGGAAAATAGATTTTGATAGGACTACTCTGAATAAACACAACCTGCTTGGCTATCTCTTGGTTACACAATCATAGTGAGTAATTCATCTATGGTTTTTGAAGCATTTAAGTATAATGTCTAAGTGCCAAGAAAACACTTAAGAATTTTGCCCTGCGTACTTTTGGAATCATCCCAAGTAGCATGTCTTCATCAGGATTGTGTTATGGAAGAGAAGACAGATCTTACTGGGCTACAGAAGAGGCCCAGCCTTTGGGGCTTGGTGACATATAAGCTGTTTCACATAAGACATAAGAATTGGAGAATTGTGGTTGCACTATCTAACTTCTTCACCATAATAAATATTTAAACATTTTAAAATTCATTTTTGCTTTTTTAAATTAATAAGAGTTTAGTGAGGTTTTTTTATTGCAAAGATAACATTCTTCATGGAAAAGAAGCAAAAAAGTGAAAAGAAAACAGATCAATCATAATCCTTATCCAGAAATAACCACTATTAACATGTTAACGTATAGCCTTCCAGCCTCTCGTGAATATAGACATGTATAGATTCACACTTTAAAAGGGAGAATTAGGATCTGTGCTGTTTTCCGACATGATTCACAGAGTTGTATGCTGATATTTTATTAGATAAGGCCTTTTTTTATGTTCTTAGTGGGACTGAGTAGAAACAGCAGCGTGATGAAAGAAATCATCGCTGCGTTCATACATCACCTGAGTTTTTTAAATGACCTTGTGAGATGAGCATTGTTTATCACACACATTAAAATTCCAGCTTTGCCAGTAATAGCTTGCTTTGTGGTCTCGGACATGTCACTTAATTTCTGTCAGAGAAGATTCTGCATACAAGAAAATGATATCATTAGACAAGATAACTTCTTAAGGCTGAGCCTTAAATTCTCACACTGACAGATGGTAAGCATTTATAGGAAATATGTTTCCTTTTCTCCTCAGTAAAACATATTATATCTAAACATTTATTTAGTGTGGGATTGTGTCCTTAATTTTTTTTCTTCCCCTTTCTTCATGTGTGACACAGTTGTTTATTACATCCTTAACTTACTGGTTTTATATCAAGTTAAATCTGCCACTTCATCTCACCTCTAGTCAGTCATGGAATATAAGCCATGTTGTGTATTTGTATAAAAACCGGGATCTTTCTATTTTTTCTTTTTGTTTGTGTTTTGAGTTGGGTTGAGGTCTCAGTGTCACCCAGGCTGGAGTACAGTAGTACAATCACAGCTCACTGCAGCCTCAACCAACTGGGCTCAGGCAATCCACCTGCCTCAACCTCCCGAGTAGATGGAACTACAGGTGCAGACTACCACACCTGGCCAATTTTTTGTAGAGATGAAGTCTCGCTATTTTGCCTATGCTGGTCTCGAATTCCTGGGCTCAAGCTATCCTCCTGCCTCAGCCTCCCAAAGTGCTGGGATTACAGGCATGAGCGACAGCACCCGGCCCCAAAACTGGTTTTAATTGAGTCTCTGGGATTCCTGGTTCTTAGTTTGGGTGTTAACCCTAGATTGGTGGTTTTCATCCCTGGCTCCAGGTCAGAACCCCTGGGAGTCTTCTATATACTACCAGTGCCCTTGGGCTCTTCCAAGTCCATTACTTTGGAAACCATTGCACTAGTTTACATTTGGTTTTTCAGCCATTGGTTGGTTTTCTGTAATTAGTCTGGAGCTTAGATATATTGATTTGATTTTTCCCCCTAATTTTGTGATTGAGACCAGAAGTAGAAGAGACCACTCACTGTAAGCATCTGGCTTAGTTATTTAATCATTCCTTTCTGCTGTGCTACCAAATTGAATTGTGTCTGTTCCTTAGGCCCAAAAGACTGTTTCCCTTATTACTGTAGTGAAATATGGAACCAGTTTCTTTACTCATAAATATAAATTATTTTGGAGTACAAGTGATTATTTCTAAATCTTTTTTCAAGTTTTGTATTTTCAATTTAAAACCTTTTTCAGCTACCTCATACCATCAAGCCAGTACTTTGTTTTACTTTTTTTTTAATTTTGATGCGGTACAGTTAAGGGTTAGGTATAAAATATGCATTGTGTAGGTACCCTTGTTGATGAGGTTGTTTTACTTTTAATTAAGAATAAGACTACTATTAGTAATTAAACTATAGGTAATTGCCAGGTTCATTTTAGGCAGCGGTGCTAGGGAGAAAAATTAAAAATTCAGTTAAAAGTAAAACATATTGAATGGTGCCCCTACAGACCCATTCATTTGGACACCCTAAAGTGTTAAGATGGGACTAAGGATCTACAGGTAACTTAGATTATCTACTGCTAACTCAAGAATTTTAAATTGGGTCATTTCGTAGATACCAGTTGTATGTAAGGAGTAGTAACTAAACTACCGTATGATATGTAGCCCTGTACTGAATACTTGTTGCTCAGTAGATTATCATATTTGATCCTCCTAATGACCTTGTGAGATGAGTGTTATCATCTCCATATTTATTATTGGAACCTCTCAAGGATTAACTGACTTGTTCCAGCTCACTAAAATTCATGAATTCAGCTTTTCTGCTCCAAAGCCTCTGTCCTTTTCACACTTCAAGGCAAACTAATTATAAAATCCATCTGAGTCCAACATAAATCTGTGCACTGCAGTAGTGTATCATGCAGTGCATTCAAATTCAAAAGCTCCCTCTTTTGTTATGCATCATTAACTTTAAGACACGACTCTGACTGTGGAATCATTGAAGTCGTATTTGCCCTTCTCTGTTGAGCTGAACTATCCAGGTGCACCAACGATTCCTAAACTTGTGCGGTGCAGAAATACAGGCTTGACTTATGCAAGAAGTAGTAAAGCATACAATTTGTTTTTATAGCACAGTCCTAGATGTGATGAAAATTATCATACAGGTAAAGGGGTTTTTTTTGTTTTTGTTTTTGTTTTGAATTGGAGTCTCACTCTGTTGCCCAGACTGGAGTGCCTCAACCTGCTGGGCTCCAGCGATCCTTCCACCTCAGCCTTCCGAGTAGCTGGAATTACATGCGTGCGCTACCACGCCCGGCTAGTTTTTGATTTATTGTAGAGATGAGGTCTCGCCAAGTTGCCCAGGCGGGTCTCGAACCCGCAGGCTCAGGCAATCCACTCACCTCAGCCTTCCAAAGGCACGGGATTACAGGCTGAGCCACCGAGCCTGGCTAGGTAAAGGGTTTTTAAGTAAGCTTAAAAATTATTTACAGTTTGTAACAGAACCACAGAAGGTCCCTGCAAGTCCTGTTCCTTGTTTACATTAGCTCACATGGTGGATGATCATAACGGTCAAGATAATCACAGCAAAATTTGAATCCAATTCTTTTATAACAGCATAACCCCTCACTAGCTCACCCCTCGGTAGCTTTAATTTAAATTAGGGAATACAGCCTTCTCTCAGACAACATTTTCATAAGTCAGCAGCCTAAACTTTCTATCTCACCAGGGGAGGAGGAGATAGCTAAGAAGTGACTGCCTGTGATCACTTGCTACTTTCTTAATTATTATATAATAAACACTTGTTGGTAATGATTGATCTTATTTTTGAGTGTCTAATACCTGAAATATTTCTTTCCTTTTTCACATATTATTTTTATTATTCTGAATGACTTTTTGTAAAAGCTTGGGATTTTTGTCATTATCTTTCAATTCTTATGAATATTTTAAATTTTCTGTTATTTCTAAAGCCTGTAAATAGTTGTTTTTAAAACTATCTTAGTTCTAGGAACAGACAGGGTGGAGCAGATGACCAAAACTTACAATGACATCGACATGGTTACACATCTCCTGGCAGAGGTAGGAATACATCTTTTCTTTCTTTAGTATAGAAAGCTAAAACTTGAGTGAGGATCATGGGGACTCTATCAAATGTGCACATCAGGTGAAAAGTGATGATGTCTGTGCTCTAGGTTATTTTGTATAAGGTTGTTTCTACTGAAACAACTGGCAAGTAAGATGGTTCTTGAAGTTTATCGTTGTGAAGTTGGTAGGGATTTATATTTATTTGTTTGTTTGCTTGCTTGTTTACTTAAATAGTGCAGGCTGGTCCTCCTTTCCTAGAAAAGCATTAATCTTAAAAAAAAAAATCTGTTTTAAAATAATTCCTGTTGTTATGCACCCTAGAGCAGAACTGCCCATTCAAAAAGCAACTTCGTTGCAGGTCTAGCTCGGAGTTCTCCCTTTTACTTTCAGTGTGGGCTGTTATTTGAGCTCATCTTGTCTGTGGCATCTTTCATATGTGTAGTGTTTCTTTTCCAGTGGGCGGTCAGGGAAGGTCTCACCTTGTACCTCAGTTTCAATTGATCTTACTGAAGACTGTCTTTCACATGCCCTTCTCCCCTCTTCCCCCAACTCCCCAGAACTACTTCTATGTATGCCACTTAGCCTAAATTTAGAATGAGATAAGTGAGCTTTAAAAATTTGGAGATAATCCCTGTTTTCACATGCCATGGAGAGAAAGGATAAAAGCCTAATGTTATTTGCATAGTGATTATAAGTGGAACCCACTCTTTTCTAAGGCAGTTAGATATTTAGTGACAGTTTTCCATCCTGCAGAATACAGCCTTCACCACCACATGGACGGGATTCCTGTGCCCTTGCTAAATATTGCCGTATGCCCAGAAAGAGCGACTCCCGGGGAGAAGCCCGTTGCTTGACTTTTCTGCAGGCCTCCTTGCATCTTTGCCATTGACTTCCTCAGACTCCTTTCTTCTCTGTACTCTAGGCAGAAGCCTATACTCACACAATTCCCAGTCTTTAATCCCCTGTTTCATTTTATATCATCATTCTTGCACCAGCTGACAAAAAGTCATTCAGTTGGCAACATGGCTCTTGGCTGCACTTCCCGCTAAGTCTCTGGCTCTGAACATGCTTTGCCCTTGGTGCAGCTGCTTGCAGCATACCTACCTGACCTCCATATCTCATGCCAACTTTATATCATTACCATGCTCAATACACAAATTCATCCGACAGATATTTGTTGGACTTTTCTTGTTTAGGCTCCATCATGATATTTAAAAACTATGTGAATTTCTAATTCTCCAAAACTGTAAGTTTAAAGGTTGGATTGCAGGACCCTTGTTTACTAGGATGATCAATAAATCTCACTTGATAATCAAAAAGATGTCCTCTTGCAATTAGAACCATTGGTCATCCATTTGACCAACATTTATTGAATACTCCCTGTGTGCCAGGTATCTGAGCATTAAAATGAATTCTAGCTGCTTTCTAGGACATTGCTTTTGAGTTTAGCAAAATTGACTACAGAATTTCTAAGCTGCTATTTAATTTTGTTTGTACTAGAAGAAAACATTTGGTGTATTTGGTATTTTAACAGAGGGATCGTGATCTGGAACTTGCTGCTCGAATTGGACAAGCTCTCTTAAAGCGGAACCATGTCTTATCTGAGCAGAATGAATCCTTGGAGGAACAGTTAGGACAGGCCTTTGATCAAGTAAGCCTTTGATCAAGTATTTGCAGCATGAAATAATTAGGTCTTGTGCAATGGAGGCATTTCTTTTCCTGGGTGTCCCTGAAATTATGGCAATAGGTAAATGACACTAGTACCTGTTGACTTTGTTGGCAATCATTGAACAAATCAGTAGAGAACTAATTGTACAGAGGAAGACTCACGTGACTACCTTGGTCAGTTTAAAATTTAGTATCTGGTACCTGAGGCACCCTTCTTAGGTTCTAAGACTATCCTCACCCCTTTTTTGTGGAATCTTATCTTAAATTTATTTTCTTAAAAATAAGTACCCAAATGTGTAAGTATCTTTATTCAAAAACCAAAAAAGGAAAAAGAAACTTGAAAATGTATGTATTCCATAGCAGTAAACATTTGTAATCAGTACTGATTTATTATTAACTTTAATAAAATTTCATATTTTCTGTAACTTGTTCTTTTTATCTGATTTCATTTATAGTTTATAAATGCATTATAGATATAACATTTGAGCTTTAGGTTGAAACTGTGTGTTCCCTAGAACTAAAATCAGTACTCCTAGGAAGACATGCACAATGATATACCTCTTAAAAAGACAAGCCCTTGGGATAAGAATTTGAAATAGGGAATCTATTCTGATACTTTGAAGGTTCTTCAGTTTTGTTTTGTTTTCTTTTCTTTTTTTTTTTTTTTTTTTAAGTTGGAGTCTCACTCTGTTGCCCAGACTGGAGTGCATTGGCTGCTCCGGGCCACCGCAGCCTCGACCTGCTGGGCTCTGGCGAACCTTCCACCTCAGCCTTCCAATTAGCTGGAATTACAGGCGCGTGCTATCATGCCCAGCTAATTTTTTGATTTATTGTAGAGATGAGGTCTTGCCAAGTTGCCCAGGCGGATCTCAAATCCGCGGGCTCAGGCAATTCACTCACCTCAGCCTCCCAAGGCACAGGATTACAGGCTGAGCCACCGAGCCCGGCTAGTTTTGTTTTGTTTTCAACTGTGAATGTATCCTTGTCTTAGGTGAAATTTTTTCTTCTATGTTTCATATATAGAATATGGAAATTGGCTTTTCTTCTCACCTACTACAGAAAAAAGCTATATTTGTTGAGTTAATGCTCTAAAATTATAGCATGGGAAGTATCTGGGATATGTTATTCTTTTTTTAGTACTTGTTACTTTCATCAATAAAACCTGATTTTGAGATTTGTTTTATGATGAAAAAAATTGTTCCATGGCTTAGAAGCTATATTGCATGTGACTAATACAAAATTTAAAAAAAGATGTGAATCAAGCAGGTTAATGTTATAATTTTATAAGATTACACTGTCATGTAAATATGTGCAGGTTAATCAGCTGCAGCATGAACTGTCCAAGAAAGATGAGTTACTTCGGATTGTCTCCATTGCTTCTGAAGAAAGTGAAACTGATTCCAGCTGTTCTACACCTCTTCGGTTCAATGAGTCCTTTAGCTTGTCTCAAGGTTTACTGCAGTTGGACATGCTGCAAGAAAAGCTCAGGGAACTGGAAGAAGAGAATATGGCTCTTCGATCTAAGGTACATACAGCCTAATTCCCATTTTCCTTTACTTTAAAGGCATAAAGTTCAGGTCCAGGTAGTATTGAGGAAAAATATGACATAACTAAGGATTTGCTCTTGGCGTTCCAGTTAGGGGGTGGCAGACAAGGAACCATATTTGCCTTCCATTGTTACTTAGGTGTTACTTAAAAGTGGATCATAGCCGATTGACAGATAAAGTCACAACATAGAGTATACATCCTGTGGATTTTACACAAGTAACTAAGTAACAATTCTGATAAGAGCTGTGTCAAAGTTACAAGGTTCTGTGAGCTTGTATAGTGGGGGATCCAGGAAGTCCTACTTAAGCAAGTGCCATTTTAGCTGAGACCAGGGATCAATCAGGCAGACATTTTAGCTGAGACCAGGGATCAATCAGGCAGAAATGTATGTTACAGAGGGGTGAGTAGACATGTACAGAGGTTCTGAGGGCTGGGAGATGCTTGCTATGTCCTTTTCCATACCCTTACTTTGGGTTGATAAAGCTTGACAGGTTGATAAAGTTTGACAGGTTGTTGAGTTTTTTCCTTTGTAAGTAATGAACCTTAATCTTCAAATGAGTTATAGATTTTGTAGTTATTACTATAAAATCATCAGAATGTATTGTCTCATACTGATTTTTTCTTGAAGGCTTGTCACATAAAGACAGAAACTGTTACATATGAAGAGAAGGAACAACAGCTTGTCAGTGACTGTGTTAAAGAGCTTCGTGAGTATTAACAATGCTTTGGTACGATATTTCCACCTCGGAGAATAGATCAATCAGTAGTTTCAGTCGAAGCATCTCAATAATCAATTTTAAATGGTTGCTAAAAATCTTAGAATACCACATTGAGCTCACAGCCCTAAATAAGATGCCTTTGTATTTTTAAGAAATATATTTGCTTCAAATCACCATCATCAAAGACCTATATTTCTATAAATAAGTTATAGCATGTTAGAGTGAAAGAAACCAAAGCTCTCCTTTTGTTAATGAAGAGCTAGTCCTGTAGAGGATATGATTTTCCAAAGTCAGAAAACTGGTAAGTGGCAAAGCCAGGGCTTAAGTGATGGCATAAAGCCTAACATTCAGTGAGTATTAATTAAGTGCCAATTATGTTTCTTAAAAGGAATATATTTTGGTTTGAGGTAGTGTTAACTAAAATAATGTTTTAAAATAAATCAACTAGAAAAAGATTGACCTCACAAGGGGAAGATATTTAATTTCTCTGTACATTCAGTAGTTACCCCTTGCCCAAGGTTTTGCTTTCCATGGTTTCAGTTACCCATGGTTAACTACATCCTGAAAGTTTTAAGTAGAAAATTCCAGAAATAAACAATTCATAAGTTTTAAATTGAGCTGTTCTAAGCAGCTTGATGAAACATCATGCCAGCCTACTCTGTCCTGGCCAGGGCTTGAATCATCCCTTTGTTCAGCATATCCACACTGTCTACAATCCCCATCTGTTTAGTCACTTAGTAGCTCTCTGGGTTGTCAGATTAGCTGTCACAGTATCACTGTGCTCATGTTCAAGAAACCTTCATTTCACTTAGTAATGGCCCCAAAGTGCAAGGATAGTGATGCTGGCATATAGTTATCTTTTATTTATTTATTTATTTATTGAGTTGGGGGTCTCACACTGACACCCAGCTAGAGTGCAGTGGCATGATCACAGCTCACTGCAGCCTCAGACTCCTGTCTCAGCCTCCTAAGTAGCTGAGACTACAAGGTGTGTGCTACCATGCCCAGCTAATTTTTTGATTTTTTTTTTTTTTTTGTAGAGATAAAGTTTCTCTGCATAGGCTGGTCTCAAACTCCTGGACTCAAGCAATCCTCTCACGTCAGCCTCTCAAAGTGCTGGGATTACAGGCGTGAACTACTCACCGTGCCTAGCCATATTGATAGAATTTTTTACTTTATTACTAGTGATTAATCTCATACTATGCCTAATTTATAAATAATATTTTATCATAGATATACATATACACATATACAGGAAAAAAATATAGTATATACAATAGAGGGTTCAGTACTCTCTGTGATTTCAGCCACTGGGAGTCCTGGAACCTGTCTATCCTTCCACGTAAGAGGAACTACTGTTCCTCTTTTATGTTGAAAGAGATGCTTTTATAATATCACATCAGTTCATTTGGGCTGTGACCTTCAAAATGGTGATACCTTAGAATTCCAGAATATTACAGAACTTGAAGGAATGTAAATTGAATTTTCTCCTCTACCGGTAATACTGTTACCTACCTTGTGTATTAGGTTGGTGCAAAAGTAATTGCGGCAATGGACTGTGACTTCTAAATCGTTATAACTAGACTCAGACACATCTTTATTCATCAAAATAGGAACCATTACAATCAACACGTTTTTGCCAACGAGAAATAAGTTTATTTCTGTAGCATAAAAATCTGTGCTTCGGGATTCAACAAACTCTTGGAAAGCATTTTCTGTATCCTGCTGGTTGTGGAAGCATTTTCTCTGCAAAAAGTTGTCAAGATGCTTGAAAAAGTGGCAGTCACTTGGCGAGAAGTCAGGTGAATATGGCAGAGGAGGCAAAACTTTGTAGCCCAATTTGTTCAATCTGTGATGCGTTGGTTGTGCATCTTGCGGTCAGACATTGTCATGGAGAAGAATTGGGCCAATGCTGGCTGCCGGCATTGCAGTTTTCGGTGCATCTCATCAATTTGCCAGGCGTACTTCTCATATGTAATGGTTTCGCTGGAATTCAGAAATCTGTAGTGGATCAGACCAGCAACAGACCACCAAACCATGACCATGACCATGACCTTTTTTTGGTTCAAGTTTGGCTTTGGGAAGTGCTTTGGAGCTCATCTCAGTCCAGCCACTGACCTGGTCTTCACTAGTTGTCATATAAAATCCACTTTAATCGCATGTCACAATCTGATTGAGAAATGGTTTGTTGTTGTTGCATAGAATAAGAGAAGATGACACTTCAAAACAACAATTTTTTTTATTTTCTGCACACCCCCTTATCGAACTTTTTCACCTTTCCAATTTGCTTCAAATTCTGAACAACTGTAGAATGGTCAACGCTGAGTTCTTCGGCAACTTCTCATGTAGTTGTAAGAGGATCAGCTTCAATAATTGGTCTCAGCTGGTCATTGTCAACCTCTGATGGCTGATCACTGCACTACTCATCGTCAAGGTTCTCTTCTCCCTTGCAAACTTCTTGAACCACCACTGCATTGTACATTCATTAGTAGTTCCTGGGCCAGATATGTTGTTGTTGGAAGTTGTCTCCACTGCTTTACGACTCCTTTTGAACTCAAATAAGAAAATTGCTCAAATTTGCTTTTTGTCTAACATTCTGTCCATAGTCTAAAATAAATGTAAAATAAACAGCAAGTAATAAGTCATTTGCAAAAATAGTTGTGAGAAATACGCTTTAAAATGATGTATACCATAAACACATTTATTAAGAATGTCTTTCAATATCAAACGGCAAATTTCAACTCACAAAAACTGCAATTACATTTGCACCAATCTAATACTTTAAAAAACAGGAGAAATGACTTGCCCAAGAGCTCAGATCCAGGTCTCCTAACTCCATACTGCCATCCTTTGAAATGGTAGACTTTCTGCCCATTTGAAAATAGTTTTATGTGACACTGAGGAATAGTTTCTCTGTTTGTGTTTAGATATCGACATTTTCCTAAGAAATAAAGAAAGAATAAATTCCCAGTGGAATTCTGAAGGTTCTGTTTCACATGCATGCAAGAGTGCTAGGTTGTGAGAATTACTCTGGAGAAAACTCTCCCTCCTGCAGAAGCATCTCCATGACTTTATCACATTGTATTATAGTCTGTGACTGTCTGTTCTCGAAATGTTCCTTTGTTAGGTTTGTTAAGGTTAATTTTCATTGCTTGTGGAATTTTATTTCTGTCTCTGAAGAGTTCTCAGATAAATAAATGAGATCTCTTCTTAGCATTTGCAAAAATATAAAATTCATCTAGCTCTCCTTTCATCCTCTTGACCTTTACAAAGAAAAAAAAGGAGCAAAACTTTTAGCCTGCTTGCCTTTGTAAGTCATCTGTCTTTAGCTCCATTGCCTCCTGCTTAATTCCCAGCATAATCCTATTTCAGAAGAGTCTTTATTTTTCTCTATTGGTTTTGCTGGGTTTATTTTTTTATGAAGGAAAAATTTATTCATGATAGTCCAGTGCTTATTATAAAACAAGATTTGGTTCACAGGCCATTGTTAGCCAGCCCCTGTATTACATTTATGTTAATTTTTATGTTTTTATTTTGCTTCCAAGGTGAAACAAATGCTCAGATGTCCAGAATGACTGAAGAATTGTCAGGGAAGAGTGATGAACTGATTCGGTACCAAGAAGAGATCTCCTCTCTCTTGTCTCAGATTGTAGAACTTCAGCACAAACTTAAGGAAGTAGGTTCATTCATTCACTCAGCAGATGTTTGTTGAGCACTAATGTAGGCCCTCACACCCTGCTAAGTTTAATGCTAGATAATACATTCAGCAATATTTACATGGCCCTGCCCTTTTAAAAGCCTTAGCCTGGTTGTTGTTTTAATCTCGTTTACATCATATAATATATCTTGGAAAACTACTTTCAGGTCACTATTTCTCTTTGTAAAATGGGCATAGATTTTCCTTAGAAAGTTGTGGTGTGGATTCTTGACTTAACGCTCATTGTCCTCTGAAGACTTTGATGGGTTTGTTGCTCTTATTAAGCTTTTAATAGGCCTTAAGACTATTTCCAGAGGGAATCTCTTAAGAGATCTTTAAAAAAGAGAAAGTAGCTATATTTTATATGAAGAGGCTTCACATGTCTCTTTTAATATGTTGTTAGCATGTGATTGAGAAGGAAGAACTACGACTTCACCTGCAAGCTTCCAAAGATGCTCAACGACAACTGACAATGGAGGTAATAAAATCTTTCTTTATCTTGTATAATTCAGGAGGGAAAGGACTGAACAATTTCTAAAGGAGATTGATCAAATTTAAAAAGCAACAGGCCAGGCTCGGGTGGCTCAGCCTGTAATACCAGCACTTTGGGAGGCCAAGGTGAGTGGATTGCCTCAGCCTGCGGGTTCAAAACCAGCCTGGGCAACTTGACAAGACCTCGTCTCTACAATAAATCAAAAATTATCTGGGTATGGTAGCACAAGCCTGTACTTCTGCCTACTTGGAAGGCTGAGGTGGGAGGATCACTGGAGCTCAGCAGGTCGATGCTGGGGTGGCCATGATGTGCCACTGTACTCCAGCCTGGGCGATAGAGTAAGACTCTGACACACACACACACAAAAAAAAACAGCAACAACTACAAAAGATTTAGATGAAATTATGAAATCTAACTAAAGCATTGTAAAAATCCTGTCCTAAAACTGGTAACATGGCAACTTCCTTCTTGATTAATAGAGAAAAACTTGACTTTTATAGATAAGATTCTTTAGGAATGTGTGACCCTTTTACCAGTCAGCCTTAACTAGCTCAATAGTTTTTAAAATAAGATAATTTCTAATATAATAGTAAGTGCTTTTGCAGGGATGTCAGGAAAGGTAGTAAAAATCTTACTTTTTTTTTAGTTGTAGTCTCACTCCGTTACCCAGGCTGGAGTTCAGTGGCATGCTCACAGCCAACCCAGCATCCACCTGCTGGACTCCGGCGATCCTTCCGCCTCAGCCTTCCAAGGAACTGGAACTATAGGCGTGTGCTACCACGACTGGCTAATTTTTGATTTACTGTAGAGACTAGGTCTCGCCAAGTTGCCTGGCTGGTCTCAAACCCACAGGCTCAAGCAATCCACTCGCCTTGGCCTCTCAAAGTGTTGGGATTACAGGCTGAGCCACTGAGCCCTCTATCTATATAAAATTGTATATATTAGCTACAATTTTGTGATTCTTTATCATGCAAAAGAGTCACCCAGGAGAGCAAGTTTTTTGTTTTTTGTTTTTGAGTTGGAGTCTCACTGTGTCTCCCAGACTGGAGTGCAGTGGCGGCTCCTGACCACCGCAGCCTCAACCTGCTGGGCTCCAGTGAACCTTCTGCCGCAGCCTTCCAAGTAGCTGGAATTACAGGCGCGTGCTACCATGCCCAGTTAATTTTTTGATTTATTATAGAGATGAGATCTCGCCAAGTTGCCCAGGCGGGTCGAGAACAAGTTTTAAATGGGATTTCTGGCACCATCCCAAGTTTCAAATTCAGGTGGTCTAGAATGAGGACCTGGAATCTGCATGTTTAATAAGACTTTTCAGCCCCGATGATTTTGATAAACTGGTGCACATATTGCAAATAAAGAAATTTTGCAGTTATAATGTACTCTGAGAATTGCGTTCTCTTTTATCAGACCTGTGTCTCTAGCTATAAAGAAGGCTCTGAAATAAGGGGGATAAACTACTGTTTAGGATGATTGAGCACCCTGACATCATATGATAGTTTGTAAACTCTTGATCTTGTCTCTAATAGACTTCAGAGTAATGTTTTTTAATAAGATTAATATGCTAGACATACCTTGACTGTAGCTATGTTACATCATCTATACATTTTTTAGGATATGAAGCATTAACTATTGAATTGACAATTCTGGTAGGCTCGTCTACATTTCAGATTTTTAGGAAGTCACATTTATGTGTAATTTTGGCCAAGACACCCCTCATTCTGGCAGCTTGAAATATATATACTCTCCTTGTTTAGTTTGTTTCAGAGTTTTGTGTTGGTATGGTATTCGGAAAGTTAGCTAACCCTCTGGATAAAATTAATACTTATCCCAAGAGGGTTTGGTTTTTTCCCCTAATGCTGTTTTGAGATAGTAAAGCACCTGCCATCCTTTCTTTTAGCTGCATGAGTTACAAGACAGGAATATGGAGTGTCTGGGAATGTTGCATGAATCCCAGGAAGAAATAAAGGAACTGCGTAGCAGAGCTGGCCCTGCTGCCCATCTCTACTTCCCGCAGTCATATGGAGCTTTTCCTGGGGTAAGGACTGGGACAATACGGTGTATGTAAAGAAGTGTGTTTCTGATTAGATTGTCCTAAAACTGATAAGGTTTATGGTGATATAAAACATCTTAAAGAGGGAACAAGGTTTGTCCTTATTTCTGGAATTAAATCATTTAGGCCTTAATTTGTATATCCTTCCTTAATACTCTTAGGTGTTCTAACAGATAACCCTCCAGATTTGTTGTAATATGTGAGATGAATCCTGAGGAAATTAGGTTTAGGATTGTGTACCACAGAACTACTTAAATTTGGGTTGTCTTACCCTGGGCTCGCCACCTGCCACAAAATGATGCTCTGAACATCTTAAACCTCTCTGAATAAATCTTGAGTTTCTTGGTATGTTTAACTCCAGTTAGAATGTAAACTCTATGAGAACTGGAATCATATTTGCTAAGTTCATTAATAAACAGTATTTTTTGGTTAAAGAAATTGATAAAAAACTGCTGAGTTTATGCCAGAATTTGTAATGTTGACTCAAAGCATTATTTTAACAATCTGAATCTTAAACATTTATCTGCAATCCTGTGAAATTTTTTAAAAGACTGAAACTATAAATTGTAATAGACTTTCTTAAGAATATGAGGGCAGGACTTTGTTTTTTAATTTTTAATTTTGAAATAATTTTAAATTGAGAATAAAGTTTCAGGAGTAGTGTAAAGAACTCTCATATTATTTGCCTAGATTCTTCCATTTTTAACATATTACTGCTTTTACCATATCATTCTCTAATTTTTTTTTTTATGGGCCATTTAACAGTAAATTGTAGATATACCCTGTTACCACTAGGCTTAAGTGTGTATTTACTAAAAACAAGGACGCTTTTAAGGGCACTCTCCTACATAACCACACTACAGCCATCAACATCCAGAAGTTGATACTGATACAGTACTGTCCTCTAATCCTCAGAGCCCATCCAGATTTTGCCAGCTGTCCCAATAATGTCCTTTAAAGACTACCTTGCATTTAGTTGTTCGCATCTGGGACAGTTCTGTCTTTATGTCTCTCTCATAACCTTTGTAGAATGCCCTCAGTTTAGGTTTATCTGATGTGTCCTCACGATTAGATTCGGCTAATGCAGTCTTGGCAGAAGTAATTCCATGTTATTCTAGGGCATCATATCAGAAGGTAGATAGTGTCTTTTGAACCTATCGGTGATGTTAAGGAACTTTTATATCTTGATTTAGCTGGTTGTCTGCCAATATTTTTCACATTAAAGTCACTTAACGATAACTCATAGTTAATTAAATTCATACTGCTGATCCACTTGCTAGTGATGAAAATCAGCAGATACTATTTTAACCACGTGATCAAGGTTAATATTTTGTGGGGAGATACTTTTAGGCTAAATATCCTGTTCCTCATCAATCTTGTACCCACTAATTTAGACCAATTGGTGGTTCTTATCTGACTCAGTTATTACTGTGGTTACCAAATAGTGATCTCCTAATTCCACAATTTTTCAACATTTATTAATTGGCATTCTCCTATAAGTTAGAGCTTTTCTGTCCCATTGATTTATTCATTTGTTTATGTAGGTATGTCAGTATGGACTCATGGATTCCTATTATATTTAGTGGGTTATAAACCATTATTATTGTTGTTGTTTATTTTGATATTCCAATTGTCTCCCAAATGGCTAGTGGGATTTTCTTTAAGCTCATCTTGTACTTTTTGTCCCAGCCCTGGAATCAATCATTTCTCCAAAGAGCTTTGGTTCCTTTTATTGAGGAATGGTATTTAGCATCTAAGATCTATGTGCTGGGTGTGCCTGCTGATCACCATCCTGGAGTATCATGGCTTCCAGTCTCTCTCATCAGACAGAACTCAAAAATACGTATTTTTCATATGTATACCCACATAAAGCGTGTGTCTCTCTCATTTCATCCATGCTTCTGTTCATCTATCTGCATACATTAAGAGTCGTGCATTCATTTCCAGTCATCTTCAGCCCAGCCCCACAGCATGGCTCCTATGCTAGTTGAATTCTCATCTCTGACCAAAGAAAAAGGAAACTTGCTTAATTTTTTTAGTGATTTTTTTTTTTACTATTATAAAAGTCGTACATGTTTGTTATAGAAAAGCTAGAACTTACAGAAAAGCAAAAATAAATTTTTAAGTACCATTAAATCCCATTCTCCACAGAATCACTGTTAATACTTGGTTTATGGCCTTTCAGAACGTTTTGTTTTTCTGAATACATATATAATTTTTTTAATCTATCATACTGGTTTTTTTTACTGATTTCTTGTTAAAAAAAAAATCGTTTTTTTTTTTGAGTTGGAGTCTCACTCTGTCACCCAGACTGGAGTGCAGTGGCTGCTTCCGGCCACCTCAGCCTCTACCTGCTGGGCTCCGGCGATCCTTCTGCCTCAGCCTTCCAAGTAGCTGGAACTACAGACGCGCGCTACCACGCCCGGCTAATTTTTTAATTTATTATAGAGATGAAGTCTTGCCAAGTTGCCCAGGCGGGTCTCGAACCCATGGGCTCAGGCAATCCACTCACCTCAGCCTCCCAAAGCACGGGATTACAGGCTGAGCCACTGAGCCCGGCTAAAAAAAATCTTAAAAAGGTAAATGGGTTCTTGTTTAAAGGTTATGTTTTCAGAATGTCTCTTTTTCTCCTGAATTTTAGCCTGTGACTTTTTCTTGTGTTTTATTTTGACACCAAAAGTATAGGATTGTAGAAGCTATCAATTAATTAAGGGCAATAATCACTTTAGGAATCTTACACTCTTTTTCTTAGGAATCTTTGGCAGCTGAGATTGAGGGGACCATGCGTAAAAAGTTTAACTTGGATGAAGAATCTTCTCTCTTTAAGCAAAAGTAAGTACATATCACATGTGGTTACTCAGCCATTGGAATGGAACTTTTAAAAAAGCCATAATCCAAAGTGATAAATATTCTAAGATTCCATAGTATTTGCTTACAAGTCAGTTTTCTCCTCACAATGTCCTCATTTGTGAGAAAGTTCTCTTGTTCTAAAGTTTATTTCCCAATGACTTCTCCTGAAGTGTAGCAGCTCCTCAGGGCAGCTTTATTTTTAATGAACTGCAAATCTATGTCTCTTTTCTAAACACTCTGGTGACTGGCAGTCATAGTAACGAGCACTTCCATTTTCTACAGAGCCCAACAAAAACGGGTATTTGATACCGTCAAGGTTGCCAATGACACACGGGGCCGCTCTGTCTCATTCCCCGCCCTGCTCCCCATCCCTGGCTCCAACCGTTCAAGTGTCATCATGACAGCAAAACCTTTTGAGTCTGGCTTACAGCAAACAGAAGACGATGAAAAGCTCCTGAGCCAGAGGAGCAACTTGGAGGAGGCTACAGGGTAAGAAACGTAGGTCATGGCAGTGATTCTGCATTTCCTTGGGGTGTTGACATACCAGATTCACATCTCAGATCCAACATAACTCTGCACTGTCCCAAAAAGGTTCTGGCACTGTCAGTTTTCATTCACTTACGATGCACTATATCAGTATTTGTAAGATAAATCATTGATTTAAGTTTTTAGGGTGAAATGCTACATTTAATTAAGTATTAAAAATGGAGCTTGTGTTTAACTCTAAAATTTTGTACTACTTTATTTTTCAGTGTTGCACAGTTTGAGTCTAAATTTTCATGTTCAAAGTCAAATTTGTTTAAAATATCTTTGCTCACTGGCATAAATGCATCAGATGACACTTTCTCATAACCATGCTCATAATCTCAACCACTTTGGTGCTTTCTGTGTATAAACGATAAGTTTAAATACACATTGAGGAAAACGAAGTTGCTCTTAATTTTCTATTTGTTTAAATTTAGATTTTTTTCCTTGTTTTCATTAATTCAGTACATTAAACTACATATAAGTGAAAATTAAGTCGCTTTAATGAAAAGTCCACTGAAAACCTTCAAGAGACATATGCTTGGCGCTTGAGGGAAATCCTTCCCAATGTAGCATCATTCCCATATGCCTCACCTGTCATGGTCGGAGCTTTGCACCCACAGTATCCATGTTTGTCTCTCCTGCCTCACTGTTGCACTGTTCTCATAGGACAGTAGCCAGAAGCAATTGCAGCTCAGCTTGCTACTCTTCCTTTTGCTTTTAATTATAGGATACTTTCCTGTTTCAAAAATGTGGAAGTGAGAAAGCGGGCATCAGAGAACTATGCAAATGCAGTATTATACAAATCTTGTTGTTTTCTTTTAAAATTTCTGCAGTACATATTCATTGGGAAGTCTGTAGCCCAAAGTAAATTGAATTGTTTTATTTTTGCAACTGATGGCATGTCACAGTTTAATAGGTAGCATTTTTTCCTTTCATCATAGTACATAAAATAATGGTACCTCGTAAAATCATTGATATAGATACAGTGAATGATAATATTTACTTTTGTGACTAATCTGAATGCACAGATGGTTGTATCTGTAGTTTCATCAATTAAATGATATAGAAAAGTTAGTAAACACAATATTGCAATAAAATATTTTTTGTCTCTCTGAAATCATTTGAAATGATCTGTAGAAGTAGTGATTTGGGGCCGGGCGCAGTGATTCACGCATGTAATCCCAGCACGTTGGGAGGCAGAGGCAGGATTGCCTGAGCCCAGAGGTTCAAGACTAGCCTGGGAAACTTGGCGAGAACTCGTCTCTACAACAGATCAAAAAACGAGCCAGGCATGGTGGCATGCACCTGTAGTTCCAGCTTCTTGGAAGGCTGAGGTGGAATAATCGACTGAGCCTAGCAGGTCGAGGTTGTGGTGGCGGTGACCATGCCACTGTACTCCAGCCTGGGCAACAGAGTGAGACTCTGACTCAAAAAAAAAGAAATGGTGATTTGGGTTTGCCATTATTGTTTAAAATACAATGTTTTTAAGGTCAGTCTCTTGAACGTTCACTATTATGGAAAGGAGAGATCGGGATTACACTCATGAACCTTAAGATCTAATCTGTGAATGTGGTTTTCCTGTAGAAACTCCCAGATCATGGGCCACCCAGGGCCCTCCAGAGACAGTGACCTGGCTGCAGCCCTGCATCGCCTCAGCCTGCGCCGACAGAACTACTTAAGCGAGAAGCAGTTCTTTGCTGAAGAGTGGGCGCGGAAGATGCAGGTTCTGGCTGACCAGAAGGAAAGAACCAGTGGCTGCATCACCCCCACAGAGAGCCTCGCCTCCCTCTGCACCAGCCAGTCGGAGATCACTGACCTCAGCAGCACAAGTTGCCTTCGAGGTTTTATGCCAGAAAAATTACAAATTGTCAAGCCCCTTGAAGGTAATAAATCAGCAAGGGCCCTTTCCAAGCTCTGTGGCTTATCGGAAGTTCCTTTCTCTGAAATTGAGATTTGTGTTGTAATTATAAGATCTCTGTATGCAAATGGATCTTTCTTATCCCTAATCTCGCTGTTTGGGTTACAGTACATCATAATACTTTGTGGAAAATTAAGGAATGAAGAGGTCTGCATTCTCTAAGTCATCAGCCATCAGTTCTCTTCAGATATTTTTAAATCTAAATGTAGGGAGAGGAAGAGTAGTCTTTTCGACTCTGCTTAGGAATAGCATGGAGAGCAGTTTTTATGATCAGATAAATGGAAAATGAGACATAAAAATGATCTAGGAGTAATACTACTCTACTTTCCTCTTCAAAAGTGTTCTTTACCCAAAGTATAACTGACTTTGAGGTGTGTGTGCCTGTGTTTTTCTTTTTTCAGTTCAGTTTCTGTTCTCTCTTAAGATAGAAGTTGAATTCAAAATAAATTTCTTTGTTTTATGGAATATTGACAATCACTGAATGCTCCTCTGACATTATTGTAAAAGAGTTCTGCATTAAATAAGGTTTTGAGTTGGTGACCTGTAAATACCCCTCAGACTCAAAGAGGTTGTATTCATTAACCATCAGTGCAGGTATTTGTGGGAGTTGCTGTTTTTACAATGAAATGACTATAGTGACATAACTAGACATTGCATCTGGTGCGCATGCTTGGGGTAATCACTCACCAGGGTTGCATAACCTGGAGCCAAGGGGCAGTATCCTACTTTTTATCATCTTCATTTTCCTGCTCTCCCTGGGAGCCTGGGGAAAAGAGTCATGAGCAGGGTGGGGAAATAACAAATAAACTACTGAAAATTCACATTGTCTTTACACTGGAAGCCCGGCTTTTGACTTCCAAGTTTACAGGCAGAGTTCCAGGCCAGGGGGTACTGATTTTTGTCACCTGATACAGCCCACCTCTGAGGTGACAGGATGTTAGAGGTATGAATAATAGTCTTTCTAGTTCAGATTTTAAGATTTGTGAGAAATGTAACACATACCTTTGTTTTTCCTTTGGCTTTCACGTTCAGGGTCACAAACTCTGTTCCACTGGCAGCAGCTTGCTCAACCAAACTTGGGAACCATTCTTGATCCACGACCAGGTGTCATTACTAAAGGCTTTACCCAGTTGCCCAAGGAGGCCATTTATCACATCTCAGATTTAGAAGAGGATGAAGAGGAGGGGATCACTTTTCAAGTGCAGCAGCCTCTTCAAGCACAGAAGCCTTCAGTATCCAAGCCAGTCTCAGGCATCTTCCTGCCACCAACTACTTCAGCAGGTGGGCCAGTTACAGGTGAGAAGATGGCTTGAGTAACAATGGTCTGGTAACCAGAAGCACTTTGCATTCTGACTTACTCTGCAGTCAGTTGGCTGCCTCTGCTCACTGGAGTGTGCGTGGTCTTTTCAGATAATGAAAAGCTATAGCACTACTGGCTTTCCTGATTCTCTCCACTTTATCTTATCCCAATCATAAATAGATTGGGCAGAGAGATAGAATTCAGTCAGTGGTTTGAAAATCTTTTGGGCTCAGGGTCTCTTTACACTTTAAAAATCATTGAGGCTGGGTGCAGTGGCTCAGCCTATAATCCCAGCACTTTGGGAAGCCAAGGTGAGAGGATTGCCTGAGCTCAGGGGTTCAAGACCAGGCTGGACAACTTGGTGAGACCTCGTCTCTACAATAAATCAAAAAATAAACCAGGCGTGGTAGTGTGCGCCTGTAGCTCCAGCTGCTTGGAAAACTGAGGCAGAAGGATCGCTGGAGCCCAGCAGGTCGAGGCTGCGGTAGTCGTTAGCGTGCCACTGCACTCCAGCCTGGACCACAGAGTGAGACTCTGACTCAAAAAATAAAAATAAATAAAAATCATTGAGAATTCCAGAGGGCCCGTCTATGTGGGTTATATCTGTTGATATTTGCCATGTCAGAAGTCAAAACGGATAAATAATAAGAATATTTATTAACTCATTCAAACTAACTACAATTTACACAAGTAATACATTTTATGAAAAATAGCAATTTTTTACACAGTAAGAAAAATGGTTTTGTTTCACAGTTGTTCAAGTCTCTTTAGTTTGTGGTTTAATGCAAGATATAGCTGGGTTCTTGTTACCAGCTCTTACATTCCATCTGTTGCAGTATATTATTTTGGTTGAAGAACATAAAGAAAATGCAGCCTCACACAAACATATAGTTGGAAAGAGTATGTTAAGTCTTTTCTAGTATTTGTAAATATTCTTTGCTATTACACCAAAACTTGGTAAGTGGTAGTTTCTTAAGCAGTTGTAGCGATGCAGAATCTGTAACCCCAACAATGAGTTTTTCATACTTTGTTATATCACAATGCATTGGTCCTTCCTACAATTTAAATATATCTTTTACCTATGCATGGTTTATAACATCTTGCATTGGTCATTTAGAAAATACTTGTACACCAAGTTATTCAGATCTTCCAAATGTTGACATGTTTCATTATATAATGATTGATATCACCACCTGTCTCATCAGAAAAGTCCTTAAGTATTAGAAAGCTTTCAGCTCTCAGTGGTGCATACAAGTTTTCCAAAACTCTAGTTTTTACTTGAAAGCTCACATTTTCTCAATGGCAAAAAATATTGTCAGCTGTTTTTCTTGAAGGAATGGGCTCATTTGATTTATTTTCTAGAAAATGTGTGCCACATATCCCAGTCTTAATACCTATAGTTTGTCTGTTAGTTGTTCTTTCAAGTAAAAATGATATTGCATGACAAAGTCTCAATTTTGTTGCACAAGTGCCTTTCCTCCAGATGACCATTATGTCTCAGGATACAGCATGAGTGCTTAGTGCACACTTCTCATTTCATCACACAGAGTAGCAGAAAGCTTTAAGGACCAAGATTTGAAAGGTAACGGTTCCTGCTTCTTCAAGGATATTCTTAGTGAATCTAGCTTTTTAAAATCCTATGAGTGCTTAATAGTGAAGACTGCTGGCCAACTTGGTACCATTGCCTGGCCTTGAGCAGCAGTTTGTCCCACTTTTACGTTTGCACCAGCAGCGTGCATGTCACCCAGGCAGAAAGAAAGGGTCCCACCTTAGCAGCACTGTGAAAGTCATCTTGACCTGTGGACTCCAGCAGTCTGCCGACCTCTTGGAGAACCACTGCAATAGACAGCGTTTAGATGACTTGATTTTTTTTTTAAAGTATTTTTTCAGAGCTTTTTTTTTTTCTCATTTCTAAGCATTTTTGCTTTTCTATCTTTTGCTTTACAGTTTTAAAGTATTGAAGGACTCAGCTCTGTACGAATTCATTGATTCTAGTACAGTCTTTATGTATATTTCATTTCCAGATTTGGGGATTTTTAGTACAAAAGTCACTTGATAAATGATGTATTACTAATAAATAATGATGAGTATTTTTACATTATTAATCTAGTCTTTCAATTTTGTGTTTGCTCCCTAAAAATCTCTATTTCAGCTGCAACCTCAAACCCAGGAAAGTGTCTGTCGTTCACAAACTCAACATTCACCTTCACCACCTGCCGGATATTACATCCCTCTGACATCACTCAGGTCACCCCCAGGTGAGAGCGTCTAGAAAGTCTGGGGCTTTACTTCTTTCTTTGACTATGTTTTCATGAGTTTCTTTTTTAAATTACCTTTATTTTAATTCCCAAAATTTTAATTAATGTTCTGTGATCATTTGTCTTTAGAATATTTTCACATTATATTTTTTCATTTGACCATTATAACTCTTTGACGTAAACATGGCAAATGAGTATGTATCTTGTAAAATAAAGAAATGGAGCATGGAAAGTTGAGTTGACTGGTTCAAGGGCAGGTAGCTAATCAATGACCCAACTGGGACTATATACCCAGAGTTAGCCAAACTACATGGTTTGTGAGGCCAGTCCTCTGCACAAGCTCACCCTCACTTCTGACACCACCTGCAAATTCAAAGGGGTTTTCAGAACCACTTTCAGGTTCTATAACTTGCTAGAAGGGCTCACAAAACTCACAGAAAACTATTATATTCGTGGCTGCTTTATAACACAGAAATTATTAAAATTATCGAAAGGAAGAAATGCATAGGCCAGAACCTAGGAGGGCTCCACACTAAAGCTTCCCTTTCCTTGGGATTTATTACTCTCCTGGCATCGGTGTGTGATAGAGCACACAGCGTGTTGCCAACCAGGGAAGTTTACCCAAGCATCTGTGTTCAGAGTTTGTAATAAGGCTTCATTTGTAGGCACAATTGATTGATTGATTGGTTACCCAGATGGTTGAACTCAGCCTCCTGGCCAGCTGATATTGTGTGATTCAGAGTCCCCACCCTAACTCACATGGTTGGTCCTTGTGACATGGCCGATCCTCACCTTAAGACCGTTGAGTGAGGGCAGACCCACCCTGAGATCTAGTGTGACCAGTCCCCGCTTTAACCAAAGACGCTCCTATCAGTTGTGACATAGATTGCCTCCTGAAGCTGAGGGCAAAGAACAGACCTCTCTGGGCAAGGCCAAAGTATTTACTGCACAGGCAACAACATGGATATTCAAACATAGTCCCTTATTAAGCCATATTGATGCTGCTTCTATTCTAACAGTTTCCAAAAGGATCTAAAGCAGCTTTCAGAGACACATAGAAAACTATAGGGATAATGCTAATCAGAAGTGGTGAGGAAAGATGTTGCACAGAAGATCCAAGAGGAAGGATGTAAAACGGGGAGAGGAATGAAACTGTACAGATTGTACCATAGCATCTTCTACGGTGAGCCACGTACTTGAGTCTTAGCTTTCTAGAACCAGTACGGAGGGAAATAAGATAATGATTATGATGTCTATAAGACAGAAGCAAATCAATTGTTTAGGGAAGTGTTTGAATGTTATCCAATGAAAATCCCAATAAAGTCTATTGAACAGGCAAATCTGTGATTTTTCTATATTGTTCTTACATAGTCATCAAGATAATGAGTTTTATAAAACTAGTTCTAGAGGGGACACTTGATACCATCATATGAAGAGTACAACTTGGGGAAGGGCAAGCTGTTCTACAGTAATGTAGGAATGAGGAGGTTAGAGCCTGGGAATATATTATATAGACTGGTCTGATCGAAGTCTGTAGTTGGACTAGTTTAACCAAGGAGTCAAACAAGTGTGAATTTTGCTTGTTTTGTACAAGATGGTCCTCTAGTCTAGAGAGTTTATTTATTGATCTTTCCCTTGCATTTTGTTCATAATCTTTAAAAATCTTGATATTTTGACATACTGAGTATTTTGTGTTGAAGTGAAAGTTTATCTATTAAGTACTGATGATATTTGTTCAAAGGGGAAATGGGCCAAAGAAGTACCATTGCCATTTCATCACCATTTCCTTAAGCATATGATTTCTCATTTAGTTTTTCTCTTTTAATATAGAATAAGAAGAAAGATCCTAATAGCTGTCAAAGCTTTTGATTATTTTTAATTTTATAGAAACACATTTCCAAGTCAGGGTTGATAAAAATTTATTCCATGGGTATCTTTGTACAATTATTGTTTAGAATGAACATTTCTTGAGAAAATGGAATTTAACAATTAGAAGTATATTATTTCTCAGTAATATAAAATTGAAAGATTAAAAAGAAATATCTTTTTCCTTAGAAGACCATTTTAAGTTTCATTATGAAAGATTATATTTCTAAAAAGTTGAATGATTGTTTATCCGTTGATTATTGTCTCAGTATATCTCACTTTATAGAATGAATATATTATTAAAAATTTTAAAGGTTTCTTTCCTTTAAATTTATTTGATTTCTATCATAAAATTTAGTTGTATTTCTACAGATGTACATTTTAGAGTTAAGATTTAAGAGTAAAGTTATCTGAGAGTACAGCAAACTTTTTCATATCCCTTTGAAAAGAAATATGTTTTAATAAGTTAATGACTAAGTTACAAATTACAAATAACTAGCCAATCATTGAACTATGTCAGAATTTTCATTTTTCAGATCTGCTCCACAGGCTATAGTTACTGATGTGTTTGTTGCCTGTTCCTTTATATTTACTAAGGATAGCTGTTATTATTTCTTTAAAAGCTGGCTTGGGGGTTGTTTTTTATTCTTAAACACTGTATTTCACTTTTTTTTAAAGTGCTGGGTTTCCTTCATTATCCTGTGGAAGTAGTAGCAGCAGTTCCTCAAACACGGCCATGAACTCTCCTGCCATGTCCTATAGACTCAGCATTGGCGAATCCATCACCAACCGGCGAGATTCCACTATAACCTTCAGTAGCACCATGAGCTTGGCCAAACTCCTGCAGGAGCGAGGCATCTCTGCCAAAGTGTACCACAGCCCAATTTCAGAGAACCCCCTGCTTCAGCCTCCCCCAAACGCACCAGCCATCCCATCCACACCACCTAATTCCCCATCTCACTCACCTTGCCCTTCTCCTTTGCCCTTTGAGCCTCGAGTGCATCTCTCTGAAAATTTTTTGGCCTCCCGACCAGCTGAAACATTCCTCCAGGAGATGTATGGCTTGCGGCCTTCCCGGAACCCTCCTGATGTTGGCCAGTTGAAGATGAACTTGGTGGATAGGCTGAAGAGACTGGGAATAGCCAGAGTGGTCAAGACCCCTAGCTCTCAGGAGAATGGAAGAAGCCGGGAGGCAGAAGTCGGCCTTCAAAAACCAGATTCTACTATTTATTTAAATTCAGGTAGCAGTTTGTTGGGTGGACTGAGGAGAAATCAGAGTCTTCCTGTCATGATGGGGAGCTTAGGTACCCCAGTTTGCACATCTTCATCCAAGATGGGTGTCCTGAAGGAGGACTGAGGCTCAGTGGTTAGCTGGCCTCTTGTACACATTGAAGGGCGGGTACAAACTGAGACCAGTGGTCTGGTCTGACTTGAGAGAAAAGGAATGTCGCACAAAGGTTGTGAATGTTGAAAGGGGGAGGGGTAATGGAGACAAAGCTGGGGTGAGGCCCTGATGGGCAATGTCCAGCAAACTGAAAGTCAATGAAGAGGCCATGAGTGTTTGCAGGCAGAAAAAGAGGAAAGTTAACACACTCCTTCAGCTGAGTTTTTTTGTCTTGAAAATAAAAAGTGAATAGAAAATAAATCCAGTAATGTTAAAACATGCCAGAGCTATTGAATTTGCTAGCACATTGATTCTGTAAGCACATGCAGGGAGAACAGGGTTAGAAAGATGGGAGAGAAAAGGGACAGCTCTGCGGCTAGCTTGGAGAAGACTGTGCTGGAGGTGGGTGGGACAGGCTCCGTCTGACCCCAAGACAATGGTGGGAAGGCTTCTGTGTTCCCCTGTTGATGTCTGGTTACATTAGCATCTGTCAAATGGCAAAATAAGGAATTCCTTAGCAAAATAAGGAATTTTGTCTTTCTCATTAGATCACAAGTGGAGACTCCATTTTCCTTTCTGTCTTCAGGCCTTTGAGCCACTGGGAGCCCATACACCACTCAGATTCCTTTGTATTTATGACTAATAAAAATTCATTTTTTTAAATTTGTATTTTTGTACAACCTCAAAAAAAAAAAAAACCCCAACATGGGTAGGAGGTGGGAGGGACTTACTTTTAAGAAGAAAAATATGGGTAAATTGGAGCCAAGGAAACTTACTTTTAGAATATTTCTTCTACATAAGTGCAGTAGTCAAGGAATAAAAACATAATTGCATGTCTTTCACATTTCCTTGGAGGCTGGAAGGGGTTAAACCAGAAGTGCAATCAATAGGAATTAGGGAATGTATATTTATATATGTAAACATTTTTTTGTAAAGGAAAGTTGGTTGCAGTTAAGCCAACTTTTTCCAAAGTGCGCTATGCATATTTTTAATGAAAGATGACATGTATTTGCACAAAAATTCTCAGGCACATTAAATTATTAACTGAAGTAAAACCCAGGTGCTTGCTTTGAGATTGTGGTTTTTTTCTAATATAAAATAAAATTAAAACACATCTGCCTTGTTCTTGATAGCTGTAGCATTAGAGAAGGAACTTTTTAATGGGAGAGTCAAGGCCTTTTCTGTTTTCTCTGAGGTTCTTTTTCTTAATACAAACTGCGTGAAACGGCACAACAAGAGTCCGGGATTGGGTTTCCATGTTCAGCAGCGGCACAAGGCTCTGAACTGGGAAGAAGCAGGTCTGTTTTCCGAGTGTTGCCGATCAGGGTCTGCTGCTCATCGGATGACATGACTTTGTCCAGGCAGGGCAGTTCAGGAAGAAATGCCATTATACAAAGACATAGAGAGAAGATGAGGGAGAGGTCTTGCTATTTTGTTGATGAAAACATGAAGTATACTACTTGATCTTTCTGGTGCTTAGTTTGCGAATGTCTTGCTCCTTTGCCCTGACTTAAAGAAAAATTCTTGACTCTTGCTCCTGTGGTTCCCATCACACACCTTGTCCTGAGATCTGGGAGGGTCCTCGTGAGGCGTCCCCTCCACCTGGAGAGCCATGTGCTCAAAAGGGTAGACAAGCCATCATGCATGCAGTGCAAGAGTGTGTGAGTTTTCCGTGCTTTTTAGAATCTTGTAATAAAACTTTTCTAAATAAATTTCTTAAAAACCAGAGTGACCGCTCCCTTTCCCTCCCTTTGCTCAGTCATGCAAAGGTCAGCACACACATGGAGTGCACACATACACATTAGAAAGGATTCCAGCAGGTTCATGAGTGAATTAAGCATGCCTGAATGGGGCAGGCATAGACAGAAGAGTCCCCAATGTTTAAATTTCCAAAATATTCCAATTCACTTTTTAAAGATAGTGGTTGGGTATCTATTTCATAAAGCAACTCCAGGGTGCTTACTTTAGCCAACTTTTGAGGATTTTTCTTTGTTCCCTGAGAAAGTAATCTTCCTGTTGCCTGGACATTCAGTTTCCAAGAAATATCAGGAAGCAGGAGAATGTCGGGTCGTAGAGTAGTGCAGAGTTAAGTTATTAGATTCATGTGGATTATGTAAATGGCTACAAATTAAACTCGATTTTGTAGTGTTCTGTATTGAGCATAATTTGTAAACTTTTTTTGTAGTCAGTGACTAAGTGTTCACTTTGGAGGCTGGGCAGGGCATTTTGGCAGCCAAAATAAGCTCATCCAATGAGAGAGAACCAGATAGGTTTCTGAAAATTAGATTCATGTCCATGTTCTATCAGAAACACTTGATTGTATACTGCTGCATGCTTGTCTCTAGAAATGACTCCTGTCCTAAAACTGGGTTTTGCTGTTTTTGGAGTTTCCACCTAAAATCATTTTTGGTATGTCCTGAGAATCTCTCTTGTAACAAAGTGGTCTGCAAAGCATAGTAAGAAGAACTGAAGCCCGGTAGCAAGTTCCTTCCTGTTTATCTGTTATATTTTGGTACTGTTCATATTTTAGTTTTTTCTTTATCAACTGTATATATATTTTCATGCCAGTATAGGAAACCTCAATCTTTGTTTCTTCCTCAAGAAGGTTTTCAGTGATTATACCTCAGGTATTTCTGAATATATTTTCCTATTGTCTAGTAGGAGAGGTATCTTCCTGAGCTCAGAATTTAAAGTTCTCATAAATCATGAAGACCCCAATCTTATGTAAATAGCCTGAGGCATGGATCTCTGAGGAGATGCTAATGACCATTGTAGTTTTACCAAGTTATGTGCTATCTGTTCTTGATTTAACATCAATGACCAGAATTTGACAAGAAAAGAAATAAGTTGGAGGTGGCTCAGAAGGGCCTATTCTCTGTCAAAGGTGTAATTTTACAGTATACAGTATCAAAGCTTGTTACTTTTCTGACCATTTTAGTACATAGTACATGGTGGTTAGTAACATAAACCTTTGACGTCTGAACCAGGGCCGTTAGTGTTTCTGGACCACTTCTCTGATGTCAGATACAACCCACCGGCAGCCTGAGGTGGCAACTAAGCAGCCGCCTTGCAGAGCACAGCCCCCTTGACGTGGACACAGGTGCCCTCTGGGCAGCCAGGGGAATACTGTTGTTCAGTATCTGGGATTTGATGTCAAACAGCTCTTTGTGCACCTACCTGTGTTTTGTCAAATGTAAATCATTTAATAAACATGAGTATCTTTAAGTTTTCATTTGTCTTCATGTGTTTTTGCCCCAGCTGTTTGTACAGCTAATCCTGCACCAACTCCTTTCCATTATGTAGTCTTGAGTTAGAAAACCTCTAGGCTGGGCTCAGTGGCTCAGCCTGTAATCCCAGCACTTTGGGAGGCCGAGACGAGCAAATTGTCTGATCCCACGGGTTCGAGACCCGCCTGGGCAACTTGGTGAGACCTCGTCTCTACAATAAATCAAAAAAAATTATCCGGGAGTGGTAGCGCATGCCTGTAGTTCCGGCTACTTGGAAGGCTGAGACAGAGGGATCGCCGGAGCCCAGCAGGTCGAGGCTACGGTGGCTGGGAACGTGCCACTGCACTCCAGTCTGGACGATAGAGTGAGACTCCAACTCAAAAAAAAAAAAAGAAAGAAAGAAAACAACCTCTAATTGCAAACCGGTACTCAAGAAGCAAACCACTGGTAGCCATAAGTAGTAAACAGAGCCTACTGTATTCTTAAATAGTTTTTTTAAAAAACATAGACAATGTCTATATGTACCATAGTGTTTCCTTAGCAAAGTAACAGTGACAAAAAATGTCTAAAGTTAGCCGGACGGGATGGCTCATGCCTGTAATTCCAATACTTTTGGAGGCCGAGGCAAGAGGATTGCCTGAGCCCAGGAGTTCAAGACCAGCCTAGGCAGCTTGGTGAGACCTCATCGCTACAATAAATTTTAAAAATTCAGCCAGGCGTGATGGCACACACCTGTAGTCCCAACTACTTAGAAAGCTTGAGGTGGAAGGATCGCCTGACCCAGCAGGTCAAGGCTGTGGGAACCGTTATCATGCCACTGCACTGCAGCCTGGGTGACAGAGTGACTCAGAAAGCAAAATAAAATAGTCACTGATGTGCAGGTACTAAGTATCAGAAGATTCCGGAAGTGGGAAGAAATTGTTTTCCTAGAGTCCACACTTTCCTGTTGACACTCAGCTATTTAGAAACTGTTTCCAAGAAACTAAATTTGGACATTGTTAAACTCTAATAGAAAAGGTCCTTTGAGATTCTCATCTCTTTCACAATTTCTATATTTTTAAAAAATTCATTTAATATCCATTTAGAATTATGCATAATTTGTGAGAAATAAGTGAATATGAGAATCTTCTTTGATATGAAATTTGATATAAAATGCTATTTTCAGCATCTTTGTGTTTTTTTCACAAAGGAATATCCATGGGTGTGTGTAAATCTAGAAATACTCAGATGAGAATTAGGATTTGGGACTCTAAGCATCCTGTCTACTTTTATCTCTGTTTTCACTATATTAAGTCTGAGTTAGGCTAATATCAAAGTGCCACAAAAGTTCCAAACAAACAAATTGTTACTGTGCAAGTCTGGCAGTGTTGCCAAAATACAGCTGTTGGCTTGTGCATTTTGTGCTCTAGTTTAAGAAGGTATGAGGAGTAAAGCACCGCAAAGGATTTATGAGATGTTGGTGAAAAATACGTAAAACCCAACCATAAAAATCATTAAAAAGCATTATTTCACAAAATTTGTCTTGACTTCTCAGCCAAATCACTAAGTCATTAAAAAACAGGATTTTCACATCACATTCAAACAATGGGCCAGAAATTTTTACAAAGTGCACAGTGCTTTTGTTTGGAGGGTAAAGGGTGAGAGATGTGGAGAGCATCCCTGGAGACCTGCATGGTGCTCATGATGACAGCGAATGTTCAGGGTCCTGCAGCTCCAGAGCTGAGCTCAGATCAGGTGCCCGTGTAGCCTTTGACAAATGTAGGCTCTCAGTGCCTATGTCATGCAGAGCCCTCCCAAGCCCAGAGCTCAGCTGGGGCCCTGTTGCTAGGTGCAAAGGTACCCGCGGGCTTCCACGAGATTCCTGACTCCCTGGTTAGGGCTCTTCAGGAACAGCTCAGTGGCCTGTAGGAGTTAGCACAGCACCACTGAAAGTCAGATCTTCAAAGACAAGAAATGATCGAAGGAGTTGAGCAAATTAGAATTACAAGCTCCTTAGCAGAACTTTCTCGCTGGAAGTGTCAGAGCCACAGATGTTCCCACGCTCGTCACCATGTGAGGGCTGGCAGAGTCGCACAAGAAGGTGTCCTTTTCCCCAGCCCATGTGCAGGCCCATTTTGATAAAATAACTGTCTGCATTAAAAGTCACAGTTTCTTTCGTTTTTTTCAACTTAGACTTCATTGGACTTTGTTGTATTGTTGGTGTTCTGGCCTCCTTCACCTCGGTTCCAAATACTAAGGCACAAGGCCTTGAGGGAAGCTCCTGAGAATGCCAAAATTTCCCTAGATCCAATCAGAGAGGACAGTAGTTCACACATAGCCCCTAAAAGCCTTAACTTCCCTTCCCTCTGCTGTTCTGGAACTGGTAAAGCTTTACTCATGTCCAAGAAGAGGAGGGGGAGTCGCAAAGCAGTGGTCATTAGTGCTGAGCCTTGGCCCAGCTGAGTGGCTGGGGTTTTCCTTCAACACCTGTTTCCTTTGTATCTTTAACCACTCTTCCCTTGAGACCCAAATCCCACTTCACTTTTTAAACATAAGAGGAGTTTAAATGTACAACTTTGTACAATAAACGGACTGAAATATTCAATCTCTAGCTGGAGATAGGCTTATCTAGACGACCGGCTGAGTCCACAAGTTGCTCCCTTTGTCATGACTTTCCCTCCTTTTAAGCTTTGAAACCTGTCTTGGGGTAGTGCGTTCATGGACTTGGTGGACACTCTAGGACCAGCACGGTGGGGAGAGGGAAAGAGCAGTTCTCCAAGGACGTTGCTGGGTCTCTGCAGCAACTCGGATAGCACTACCTCCAGACTTTGTATTTCATGAAGTGAATAGACCTCCTTGAAGTAAACCGCTTGTAGTCAAGTAACAGGTCTATGCATCTTAACTCATACGTGGCCCACACTTTGAGAAATATTGTCGTGTATACCAGGGTCCTCAGGGCTCTGTCACAGAGCCTCCCTTCTTCTTACACAGTACTCCCTCCGTGTGATCTTACCCACTCCCTTGGCTTGAAATATTTTCTGCTCTGAAGACTCCTAAGTCTATTTCTAGCCCAGACTCCTCTTTTGAACTGCTGAACGTGTAACAAACTCCCTAATAGACATCACCACTTGGCTATCTCCCTGGCACCTCAGCCTGTCCAAAGCAACATGATCTGCTCCCCTGAACCTGTCTATCCCCCAGACTTTCTCATCTCAAGAGATGGCACTACCATCCACTCAACTGCTTGAGCTAGAAGCCTAGAACCCTACCCCCTCCTTCCCCCCACTCTGATATCCAATCCATCACCAACTTATATCATGCCTTCTCTCCATCCCCCGCCCCTCATGGTCCCCTCTGCCAGGGCTATCACCAGGTCTCATCTGGACCACACCACAGCATCCTGGTTGGTTTCCCCACCTCCTCCCCCTCCAATTGTCTCTCTGCACTGCAGTTAGAAGGATCGTTCTGATGTGCAAATGTAGTAGTCCCTTCTCTGAGTAAAACTACTGCCTGGGTCCCCAGACTAGGTCATTCCTGCTATAAAATCCCACCACATCTGATGAACCTCTTTTTTTTTTTTTTTTTTTTTAGTCGGAGCCTTACTCTACTCTATTACCCAGGCTGGAGGGCAATGGCCTGCAGCCTCGACCTGCTGGGCTCAGGTGATTCTTCTGCCTCAGCCTTCCAAGTAACTGGAGCTACAGGCACACACCATTGTGCCTGGTTAATTTTTTTTTTTTTTGTAGGGAAGAGGTCTCACCAAGTTGCCCAGGCTGGTCTCGAACCTGTGGGCTCAGACAGTCCTCTCACCTTAGCCTCCCAAAGTGCTGGGATTATAGGTGTGAGCCACCGCGCCTGACCAAGCCTCTTAATGTAAGATTCATTGTGCTTTTACTGGGCTTGTTTATCATCTGTTCTCCCATGAGTCCCTAAGCTCTACTGAGCACAGGAATGGAGGTCTATCCTGACACCTAGTACAGTGCCTGGCATGCAGTAGACAACGAATGTGGAGCTGGATGGATAGATGAGTTTATAATTAATAACAACATGTTGTAACCTAACAGTGGATCATGAAATCAATCTAGTGAATGACAATCAGCTTTAATTTGAAGAAAAAGAAAAGAAGATGACAGCAAACAATAAGGGTATTATTTCATGAAGTGTTTTATTATAAAATGTGTAAGATATATTTCTTATAAATTGCAGTAATACCAGAAGGAAAACCACTGAGCTGTAATAAACAAGTATTTTTTCTATACAGAGAAAAAGCGGATTTATTTAGAAAAAAAAAAATCTGACACCCTTCATAACTAAAAAAGACTCCTGCCCTGGGGAATTTGTACTTTTATAGATTTGAAAGGCTTAAATTCAAGGAAGAAAGTGCCTACTTTAGAGTTTTAGGGTTCTGTGAGCAGATCGTAGAGGAATTTAAAACCCACCATAGATCCCTGCTGGTGATGGTCACCACAAACCAATGAAGCCGGTTGGTGGGGGAGGGGGACTGGTGGTCCTACTTCCTCTGAAAATAGATCTTAAGCTTATTTTGTCTCATGGCTGATTTTGGCAACCCAGTGTCAGGAGTGTGGATTCCTTGCTGTTGGGGGTGGTCACTGATCTGGGTCTTGGAGAATTTAACTGGCTATTTCTCCAACCTCCTCTGTTTAAGAACAGAGCCCTGAGCCAATGAGGTGCTGCCCTTCTGTTTCCATAGCAATAAGATAAACAAACCTTGGCTTGTTCTCTCCCAGGAACAAGCCTGACAGTTCAAGCCTCAGTCAAGGGGCTCTGAATGGAGGGGGCGATATTCTCCAATTTGATGCTAATTGGAATACCAAGGAACTTGAGTCAGATTGTCATTAGAAGGGAAACTGCTGTTCAAGCCAGTTCAGTCTTGTAAAAGCCTTCCACTGGACTCCCTGGAAGTCTGTCTCTGCACACATAGACTGCGGATTTTCTGCTTTGGAATTTCAACCATTTGGAATGACCACTAAAGGCTTGAGTGCTAGAACCTCTGGATTTGATGTAATGTGAACTCTGATTTTGTGTTGAGAAGGAACCATTTGTCTATAACCTTGTGGTTTCTTTAAAATTCTTGATTTGGGGAAGTTTCACATGGGAAAAAAAGATCTTTGGGCAGTCCAAGGTAAGTACTTTGGGAAAGTTACATTGTTTATCATTTTTCTGCTGACTAATGATACTAATACTAATTAATAATACTGACCTCTCTGAAGGCTGGGCTGGTTCACTGGTGACTACGGTTAGGGTAGGCCTCAGGTAAAATTACCAGAGAAAAGATCAGAAAAGGAAAAGAAGGGGGAGAAAGAATACTCATACACACACACACACACACACACACACACACACACACACACACACATACACACAATCCTCTATATTATTTCAAGCCACTGAAAATGCAGATACTCTATCTGTCTAAACATAGGCACATACCTACATGGACATTCTTGTTACATATATATTCCCAATTTTTCTGTAAAGATACCCCAAAAAACTGTTAGCAGCAGTTCCCTGTTGGGTAGGTACCAGAAGTTAAGTGCCCATGTTTAGGTGATGTGCATAGTTACTGAAACATCAAAATACTGTCATACTGGTTGGTAAATGGCCATCACCCAAACCCCTTGAATTTCCTCCTTGCCACCTTGGCTGCTCCAACTTCTCCCCTGGCACCCCCAGACAGCCTCATGATTCAGCAACTAAGGGGTTATTGCCTGACATTGGGGAGGGACTGGGGTTCCCCAGGACCCGGTTCCAACCCTGGCTGGTTATTCAATAGCCTTGTCTTTTGGTGGTTAAATATGTTGAGTATCATCCCATGGGTGGTCAGAGGGAAAGGCCTTTACTCTTTAAGGGCAAAAAATATACTACCAAGGCCTTGTTTATAATGGGGGAAAAAGAAAACAGCCCAGCATTCATCAGTGACCATTAAAAATCTGTGTAAAGCTCCACTGAGTGACTGCAGCACCCATACAATTTACCTGTGCGTTCTGCTGTTTGAACTTTAATGTTTAGTATTGTCCGTAATATGATACTGATGACTGCAACATATTGGCAGTTTTATTTCGTTTTGGCCTCCCTCCTTTCTCCCTGTTGATCTGGTCCCGTGGTTATAACCTCCAGGTTTACTAGTCAGGCAACAAGTATTCACCAAATTCCCATTATGAACGAGTTGCTTTGCTGGGCTCAGTGGCAGCAGAGAACACCGTTAGAGTCCTGGCCGTTAGAGACCTGGCTGTCAGGAACCACCTGGTCTAGTCGGGCAGGCAAGACATGGAAGAGAGGAGGGCCTGCCTTCATGTCTCACTGCCTGCCTCCGGGACTCCTGCTGAATCTCCCAAGTTCAGGGATGGCCCCTTTCCTCACAGGATGCAGATACCCATTCCTAAGCAGAAGCAACACTTCTTTCTTGCTACCGCTAGAGCCTTTTTTCAGATTCTCAACTGAGTTCCAGCCCCTTGGGGCATTATCTTCCCACGTGGGCTACTCAACCCCCTCCGCTTCCTGACACGGGAGCTCTCCCAATAGGGTCCCCAAGCACAGTGGAGTGTGGACAGAGTGGGGTAGGCTGTCAGCTTGGTCTGCAGTAGAATGTCTGAACGCTTCCTAAAACCTGCCTATTGGAAATTTATCCATCTATGTCTAACCTGTGCTAGATTCAAAGTGTATCAGGGGTAAAGTCTAAGCAAAATGGCTTATGCTGAGGCAAAAAGACCACACTAAACTAAGTTTACTCTAGGTTTCTGTAGGTACCTCCTTAATCGACATTAACTTTTTACCTTGATACATGTGGGTGTTTACCTCACTGTGATGATGTTTGCTTTCTTATCATATTTCTTCACCCGGAGTAATTGCACATTTTTTGTTTTATTGGGTTTCTATGTTTTTTTGCCAATCTCTCCCCTCCCAGCCCACCCTGGTTCCTATTGCTCTAAAACAAATTGCCATAAATTTAGTGGCTTAAAACAACACCAATGTATATCTTACAGTTCTGAAGGTCAGATCCTAAGTGGATCTCACTGGGCTCTGTTCAAAGTGTTAGCAGGGCCGGACTCCTTCTGGAGGTCCCTGGGAGGGTCTATTTCTCACCTTTTCCAGCTGTCCAACTTCATTGGCCCATGGTTTTTCTCCTCAAGCCCTCCTATCTCTTCTATCATCACGTCTTCTCTCTCTCTCTCTCTCTCTCTCTCTCTCTCTCTCTCTCTCTGTGAGTCAGAGCCTCACTCTGTTGCCCAGGCTGAAGTGCCATGGCACACTCACGGTCACTTCAGCATCGACCTGCTGGGCTCTGACGATCCTTCCACCTAAGCCTTCCAAGTAGCCGGAACTATAGGTGCACGCTACCACAACCAACTAATTTTTTTTATTTATTGTAGAGACGAGGGCTTGCCAAGTCGCTCCACGGGCTCGGGTAATCCACTTGCCTCGACCTCCCAAACTGCTGGGATTACAGACTGAGCCACAGAGCCTGGCCATTCTCTGACTCTTATAACCCACAAGAATCTCTCCATCTCAAAATCTTTAATTTAATCACAGCTACAAAACTCCTTTTGCAATGTAAGGTAACACAGTCACAGTCTCCGGGAATTACAGCATGAGTAGGGAAGGGGACACTATTCATCCTACCATGTGCTCCTACAGGTCTGTCAGCTATCCTCTGGTATCACCGGATGATCTTCTAATCCCAGGTCCTGAGTCTTTGAGGACCTTCAATGTGTGAACTGGCTCCATCTTGTTCAGACTCTGTCTTTGCAGGCTTAAAGCCATAGTATGCCATGGTGAGGGCCCTAGTTACAACGCCAAACATCTACGGACATCATGGACATCCCTTGTGCAATATTGTCTCCTCTCCCATTTTCTTATTCTTGTGGCCTCAAACTTCTTTTAATCCTGTACTTTTATTTTACTGAGGTTCTGGAAAATAAAGAGGATAAACTAGTGGGGCCAAGCCTCCATATTTATCTGATAGTTACCTTTCATACAGACCCTCTTAACAGGGTCTTTTGTCTTTATAGTGCCAGGGAAGAAGTTTCCACTCTGTAATTCAGACAGTTGACCAGGAATGAGAAACTGGGAGATTCACTTGCACTGTAGTTCAAGTATCAGAGTGAATTTTCCAGAAAGTTCTGGGTGGGATCTGCTGTGGGGATTTCTCTTCCCATCGTTGAGAGCTGGTGTGGCCTGCTGAAGGGCAGGGGCATGGGAGTCAGGAATATTTGTGTGTGTGCCCAACTCTGCAACTTGCTATCCTCATCTACAAAATTGGTATAACAACAATTGTTGTATACTTGGCTCACAGAAAGCACTTAATTATGGTTTTGTTTTGGATTTTTTTTGAGTCGGAGTTTCACTCTGTCACCCAGGCTGGAGGGCAGTGGCATGTTCCTGCCCACTGCAACCTTGACCTGCTGGACTCAGGCAATCCTTCCGCCTCAGCCTTTCAAGTAGCTGGAACTAAGGCACGTGCCACCATGCCTGGCTAACTTTTGATTTCATGTAGAGATGAGGGCTCACCAAGTTGCCCGGGTTGGTCTCGAACCCATGGGCTCAGGCAATCCTCTCACCTCAATTATGACAAATTTCAAATTGCCTTCGAGTCAGATCTACAGGGTAGCATGTATTATATCTTATGTCCCTGGACCAGGTCAACAGCTTCTGGAATCTACCATTATTCTTTAGGTCTTCCTTGGGGCATTCCCAGTTTGTCTCTAAGCCTTTTTGCTTTGATTCTAAATGGCTTGATTCTGCTGGTGTCTCCCCATTTCAGCAAGAGCCTCCTGACCTTGGGCCATGCTCCCCAGCCCTGTCACCTATTGCTCCTGCTGGGACCCCTGGAACGTAGGACCACGGAAGCTGATCAAGACCCTTCAACCACCACGCAGGAACCCCCCTGGTCAGACCAAGTAAGAATTATCTGGGGACAGAGTAGGCACAGGGGGCTAGGGACCCATTTGTAGCCTTTTATCTCTCATGGGTTTCCCAAAACAGCAAGCTTCACAGCCAAATCCCAAGTGGATCAGAAAACCTAGCTTCACCACCTTTCCCTGCCAGCCTGCCGGCTGAACATACGTCTTGCCAGTGCCGCCAGGACTTAGTGTTATTTAAAGGAGAAAGTCTCAGCATTAGTGCAACAGGGAAAGTGCAACTTCTAACCAAGGGCCTTGATGGCAGCCTCCCCCTCCATGTGGGACAAAGAGCTTAAGGAAGCAGGGAACAAGCTCTTCCTGGGACAGTGAACAAGCGCCGAGGCCGTGGGCCTGAGTGTTCAAGGCCTCCGACTTTAAAGATTCCAGGTGTCAGACTATGTATTCTAATTTGGGGTCACCGTGGGGATGTCCTTAATCTAGGAGTGTTAAAATGGGCATCTGAATTTCCCATTTTCTTTGTTTAGCTGTTTATTTTTCACCTCCAGGCTAACTCCTCTTCCACCAGCTCCAAACAAGCACGGTTACCTCCAACCGACAAGACCTGCCGTCTTCCCAAAGTAAGTATTTGGAAGTCCATGAGGCAGGAATGGTCTGAGGAAATTTGACCTTCACAACCCTGCTTGACTAGAACCAACTGCCGCCAGGATAGCAGAGAATTGCCCGAATTTACCACGATTTCTCACAAAGCTCAGACTCTGCATGTAGACTCTGGGGTCCTCTGCACCCACAGCTGCACAGTCACGTCACGTGAGCTCCCAGGTGGGAGGCTGTCTCCTGTTCTCACAAAGCCCTGTGCCCACGGGTGCACATAGCCTTGGTGAGTCACCTGCATATTTACGGTGGTGACTCACCCTTTACTGACTCCTTTCCTGTGTCTAAAACTGTCCATAGCAGTGATCCCCAACCTTTTTGGCATCAGGGACCGCTTTTGTGGAAGACAATTTTTCCACAGACTGGGAGTAGGGGTGGGGGTAGGGAGGGGATGGTTTCAGGATGATTCGAGCACATTACATTTATTGTGCACTTTCTTTCTATTATTATTACATCGTAATATATAATGAAATAATTATACAACTCACCAACATGCAGAATCAGTGGGAGCTCTGAGCCTGTTTTTCTGCAACTAGACGGTCCCATCTGGGGGTGATGGGACACAGTGACACCCAAGGTGTGTTGCTTATGTTCAGTCTACTCCATCATCTCGTGTTGCTGTCACTGCAGAAAATCTTGCTTCACAAAGATAGGATGTTGGAAATGGAAGCAGGCTTTTCAGTGCCGATCTGACAGGAGGCAGAGCTCAGGCGGGAATGCAAGCGATGGGGAGCAGTTGTAAATATCGGTGAAGCTTTGTCTGCCGCTCACCTCCTGCTGTACAGTCCGGTTCCTAACAGGCCACGAACTGGTACCCATGGTTGGGGCCCCCTGTTCACAAATTAAAGTTTTTACTCATGTTTTACAAGCTTAGAAGCGTACCTTAGTCTTAGGTCTTTGCATTTGTTTTTTATTTTTATTTTTCGTATGACTCATATTTCTCTGAAAAACAGTTTTATATTTTTCTTTTCTTTCTTTCTTTCTTTCTTTCTTTTTATTTTTTATTTTTGTTTTTTTGAGTTGGAGTCTCACTCTGTCGCCCAGACTGGAGGGCAGTGGCCACTCCCGGCCACCACAGCCTCAACCTGCTGGGCTCCGGCAATCCTTCCGTCTCAGCCTTCTGAGTAGCCAGAATTACAGGCGCGCACTACCACGCCCGGCTAATTTTTTGATTTTATTGGAGAAATGAGGTCTCGCCTGCCCAGGCGAGTCTCGAACCCGCTTCTTTTATTTATTTATTTATTTTTGGAGTCAGGGTCTCACTCTGCTGCCCAGGCTTGAGTGCAGTGGCATGATCACAGCTCACTGCAGCCTCAACCTCCCGAGCTCAAGGGATCCTCCTACCTCAGCCTCCCAAGTAACTGGAACTACAGGCATGCACCACCATACCCAGCTTGCATGAATCTTTGTATCCCATTAATTTATTTGGATAATATTTATTGCACTCCCGTTTTTTATTAAGCACTTTTTTGGATGCTGGGAAAAGAGCCAGAAACACAATAATCTCCACCGTCCTGGTGCTTACATTCTAGTGGCGGAGGGTGGCTACAAATGAGTTATTACATTAGAGGTTGGCACATGCTATGTAGAAAAATAATGCAAGCCAAGGGAACAGGCTGCGAGTGTGAGGCTGTGACTTTATCTGGGGATTCAAGGCAAGACCCTGTGTGAAAGGGACGGTGGGAGCCACACAGGTGCCAGGACAAGCACGCCTGGTGGAGAAACCAGCACGTGCAAAGGCCCCTGAGTGGGAACTTGCTGGTTGTGTTTTACCTCTTCCGGGAAGACAGAGGCCAATGTGACACAAGTGGGGAGGGAGCAAGGGATGGCAGGAGGGATGAATTCAGAGAATAAAAGGAAAGGAAGGATGTAGTGGGTAGGTCAGTGGCCCCCAGTGATGCCTACACTCTAATTCCTGGAAAGTGAATGTATTATGTTACTTGCCAAAGAGGAATTAGGGGCTGGTGTGGTGGCTCATACCTAGAATCCCAGGGCTTTGGGAGGCCAAGGTGGGAGGATCACGAGGCTAGGCGTTTGAGACCACCTGGGCAACGTAGCAAGACCTTGTCTCTACAAAAAATAAAAATTAACTGATGTGGTGGTGCACACCTGTAGTCTCAGCTACTTGGGAGGCTGAGGCAGGAGGATCACTTGAGCCCAAGAGTTGGAGGCTGCAGTGAGCTACGATCCCACAACTGCATTCCAGCCTGGGTCACAGAGCAAAACTTTGTCTGTAAAAATAAAAATAATTCAGGAAAAGAGGACTTAGGGTTGCAGGTGGAGTTAATGGTGCTAATCAGTTGACTTTGAGAAGGAGAGATTATCCTGGACCAGATGTGGCCAGAAAGATCCTTCCTTACATATGAAAAAGGAAGTCAGAGTGTCAGAGTCGGAGATGGAGTTGTAACAACAGAAATGGAGGTCGGACAGATGCACTTGCTGGCTTTGAAGATGGAAAATGCATGTGTATACGTAATATTCATTTTATAAATAGCATATTAAAGATGTGAGTGAAAAACAAATGAAATGCAAATGTTTTGTGTCTTAATGGAATGCATGTCATTATCTGGAATGTCTGTTTATGTAGAATGTTTCTTGTTTCATTCTCCCTTAAAGAGGGCTACACGCAGTTCCCTGAATTAAGTGTGCATACGTGTGCACACATGTTTGGGGGGTGTCACCAGACACCCAGAGCTTTGCTGTCCAGAAGTATGCAGGGGTCCCTCTAGCTGGTCTATACCCCTCCAAAACAGGCTGTCCCAACATCCTAAGAAAACCCTTTTGCCTCCTTGGGCGGAATTTTTTCACAAGAGTTCAAGCTGTGGGACCTTCAGGGGCCCTGCTTTAGTGGGTTCCCCAGCAACCCAGGAATCCCAGAGAGGGGCATGTGGCTGGAGCTCAGGGAGCAGACAGCAGATGATAAGATGTCAGGGTGCAGCTCTGAAGCCCTGAACCTCCATTTGCCCTCTGGTTGCTTTCTGATCGTGCCCTTCTCTTGCAGAGTGAAGATGCACTTAGGAAGACAAGAGGAGAGCCATAAGCTGTCCTGTGTGAGTACAATGGGAAGAGGGCGGGGACTGACATTTATTGAGCACCTGTGGTGTACAGGCATGGGCCTTTCACAGACTCTCAGCTAGTTGCATCTTCACAATGATCCTGGCAGGAGGGTTGTTTTCCTTGCACTATATGTGGTCAGGAAGTGGAAGGACCACGACTTGAACTCAGCTCAGCCAGACCCAAGTGGGCATTGACCTGCCACTCTCTACTGCCCCGTGCAGGGACACCTGGGAGTGACATTGAGTCCCGGCCAGAATACAGCTCATGTGCCTAAATGCAGAGTCCCTGAGGGCCCTGGAGAAAGAGATGGGAATGGAGCCCAGAAGGGTCCTGACACCTGCCTGGGGGTATGGGCCTGATCCTTCTGGTCTGACACAGGCACAGTACCAGGTGGATTTACATTTTTAGGAAAAAGCACCTTCGGACAGGACGTGATTGTTTTCTTTTCTCTTTTTTTTTTTGAGTTGGAGTCTCACTCTGTCGCCCAGACTGGAGTGCAGTGGCCGCTCCTGGCCACCGCAGCCTCGCCTGCTGGGGTCTGGCAACCCTTCCACCTCAGCCTTCCGAGTAGCTGGAATTACAGGCATGCGCTACCACGCCCGGCTGATTTTTTGATTTATTGTAGAGATGAGGTTTCGCTGCCCAGGCGAGTCTCGAACCCGCGGGCTCAGGCAATCCACTCACCTCAGCCTCCCAAAGGCGCGGGATTACAGGCTGAGCCACCGAGCCCGGCTCTTTTCTTTTTTTTTTTACTATTTTCTATTTTCACCTGGTTTCTTTCTTTCTTTCTTTCTTTCTTTCTTTCTTTCTTTCTTTCTTTCTTTCTTTCTTTCTTTCTTTTTCTTTAAACAAGTACCATGTTGTCTTTTCATGGTCAGAAAAAATTAAATTAAATTAAAAATAGAATTGCCCACCAGGTGGAGAAGAGGATGAACAGTGAGGAGGGATAAGATGAAAGGGAGATGAGGGGCTGAGCATCAGTCAAGGTGTGGCTGGAAGAGGACCAGGCGGAGAGAGATAGGAAGATTATACAGAAGGACCCCGGGGCTTCAGGATGTGTGGCAGTTCTTTCTGGAAGCCGCAGTATCCTGGGCTCTGACAGCTGTGGCCCTGCGCAGGTCTCTGACTTGGCATCTAGTGGGAGAGGGGGAGAAACTGACTACTGTTTTTAGGCAACCATGCTAATCATTTCTTCATTTGTTATTTTGCTTTTCTCTCACAAATGCCCTCTAAGAAAGAGTTTTGTTTTGTTTTTTTCTGTTTTGTTTTGTTTTGTTTGAGTCAGGGTCTCTGTCACCCAGGCTGGAGTGCAGTGGCATGCCCACGGCTACCATGGCCTTGACCTGCTGGGCTCAGGTGATCCTTCCACTCAGTCTCCTGAGTAACTGGAACTACAGGCACATACACCACACCTGGCTAAGTTTTTTATTTTGTGTAGAGACGAGGTCTCTTATGCTGCCCAGTTTGATCTCAAACTTCTGGACTCAAGCAATCCTCCCACCTTGGCCTCCCAGAGTGCTGGGATTACAGGCATGAGCCACCGCACCCAGCTAGCTTTAAGGAAGAGTTATTATTCCCATTTTCTGATGAGGAAAGTGAGGCACGGAGATATTGAATAGTTAGTTACAGGTTGGTGACAGAGCCAAGATTTAAACTCAGGTCTGTTTAATTCCAAACCCTGAGCCATTTCTACATGCCCACTGCCTCTATTTCTGGCCACGATGGAGGGGGAGGGCAGGGGTGTTGATGGCTGAGTTTGGCACAGTTGAGCTTGAGGCCCACGAGGATACCAGGGAGCTCACTGTGCGTGGGGCATGGATCTCAGAGATGTGAGGGTGAGTGGTAATGGGGGCAGCCTAGCGGGGGCCTGGGGCCTGGGTCTCCTCTCGGGTCTCTGTTGCTCAGGTGTGAGTAAGGCCGGAGGAGATGTGGAGGCGTCCCTGCTTTCCACTCTGCAGTCTTATCCTGCCTTCCCTTGCTGTCCAGGAGGTGATCAACGTGTCCCCTGGCTATCAAATCATTCGGAATCCGGAGCAGATTTCTGTCACCTTAGGAGACGAGATGTTTGACCAAAAAAAGCAGATGGAGTCAGAGATCCTGGACAAAGTCAACTTTGCCAGGTAATGTCACTGGACCAACATCCAGCTCTGGGCTCAGCCCAACCTCTGGGACCAGCGCTGACATCCTGCCTGGGCCACATGCTCTGCTCTGAGGTGCAGGAGAGCCCCTTCCCCCTCCCCACTGCCTCCCAGAGCTGCTCTTCCCCCGTACCTCCTCCATGCCCTGGTCCCATCCTTGAGGAGACCCAAGGGGCAGGGTGACCTGGAAGTGACCGGGAGCCTGTGATTACCCAACAGGAGGGCAGTTGTGCTTGGGGGTGAGGAACAGATGAAGTATTCATAAAATGGTCTGAACTGAGGGTGTGCGAATTAAGAGTCAAGTCTGGGTTTCTGGGAGGCTGCAGTACACATTTCTTTTTCCTAATGCCCCAAAATACCTCTCAGTGTGTGCCTCTGAGAGATACAGCGTGGAAGGTTCCAGCCTGGGTTCACCCTGCTGAGCACACGGCCATCTTCTCTGTCATTCAAGCCCCACCAGCTCTCTGTTCTCCAATGCCACATCACGCACGTCTCCACGGCGTTAAATTCCACCACTTAGCCTCTCATTCGTGTCTCCTTTCCCACTGTCCTGTGCAGGTTCAAGCATCTCTCTTCTTACCTGCACTACAGAATGGCGTTGCAAGTGCCTCTGCCTTCAGACTTGTGTTGCTGCGAGAGTTATTTCTTCCAAGACTCAGGTCTAAAAGACCAACAACAGAAAGCACGCGCACATGCATGTGCACACACACACGCGCACACACACACACACACACACACACACACACACACACACACACACATACACAATCCCTTACCTATCTGCTGGTATACAAGAAGAGTACAGCCCAGCTATTAGCAGTGGTTACCTCTGAGCAGGGATTCAGATTGGAGATGAGGCTGAGGGGCCTGCGAGTTGAGTGAAGCCATACTGAGGGATCGCCCTGATCAGAACAGGCCTGGAGAAGCCAGACCCAAGTCCCTGTCTTCCCGTCCAGTGAGGTAGTCAGCATCTGTTTACTTTTCCCTGCTCCTCCCTGGCCCTTGTTATGCAGCCATGGTTGCTTCTAGTGCTCAAAAGTTCCCAGAAGCCTCCAGGGCTCATTCTGTGACTGTTAATGCTGCATCAGAATCTACAGATGTCATGGGTAAGCTAGCACCCACAGCTACATCTTGGTTTCATGATAAAGTGGGCACCAGGTGGGCCTAAGAAAACATCACAGCCCATGCTTGTTTCATTCCTGGGTAAAGCTGTGAGTGTTGCTTATACTGAAGATTACGGTCAAAAAACAGGGGTTTCTTGGCATTCAACCTTCTCATGCCTTCCTTGTCACTCATACTTTGGCATCCTTTCTTCCTATATGTGCTCTCTTATCTTCTTACCCCACATCATTTCTGTGTCCTATGACCCATGGAGGATGATTGACCAAAGGGGCCAAAGCCTCTTGAATTGAGGACCTCCTCTCAGCTCCACAGCACAAGGCACTACCTGCCACCCTGTCTACGCAAGCTCAACCTGACAGCATTGGATCATTTACAGATATCTGTTCCAAAAGCCACTCTCTCAAGTACTCTCTTAGTCCAACTCTGGCTCATTCCCTGCCTACGATGCACAGTCAGCATCAATCCTATTCCTCCATCTTCTAATTTATCTGAACTGCCTCCTCTGTTCCAACTGTCATTACCCAATCAAGTTCAAACCCTCATACATTTCTGACATATTCTTATTTCTCTTCTACTCAGTAGGACACCAACCTCCCTGCTCACATCTGGTTAGCTTACCCAACAGAGTCAGATCTGAAGCTCAGCCACCCTATTGCCAAATGCTTTCCCCCAAGACCACCCCCCACTCCACCACCCCCAACCCCATAATGATGGAGCTGGTACAGAGCATGGCCAGCTCTCACCAGGCAGAGTCAGTCACGCTCAGGCCATGGAATGGTATGCTTGGTGAGTGATGGAAGAATTACTTGTCCTACAGGACTGGCATCATTTCTGACCTAGAAGAGCAGATCTCAGAGCTGACAGCAATCATAGAACAAATGAACAGAGACCACCAGTCTGCCCAGAAATTGGTGAGTGATCTTTGCACTAGCCAACATCTCTGTGGGTAGGGTAAAACTAGCGTTTCCAGATCACCTGGGAAGGTGCAAAGCCCTTGCTCGTGTGTGTCATGTTGTCCAGGTGACAGAACTCTGAAGATAGGGCTGTGTCACCCATTAGTGTTGCTCTGACTCCATTCTCATGCCTAATTGCAAGGACTCAAGTTCCTTTTCAATGCTTAATTCATTCATTTCTGGAAGTTTTCCAGGTGCCTCCGGCATGTGCAGTGACACTGTTCTCTCCACATGGGGCCCTTTGTGGTGCATTAAGTTTCAGAACTTGAGAGGCTCCCACTAACGACACCAGCACAGTGGATGCTGCCAGTGCTCAACGGTTCCTGAAAGCCTCCAGGGTTCATTCTGTGACTGTTAAAGCTGCCAGTGCCAACACGTCAGAATCTACAGATGTCATTTTACAGACTTAGTGATTCCTGGAGAGTTTAGCGACACCTCCTTAGATTTACCATCTGCTTCATCACAGTAACTTCTTCCCGCCTCAGTGGGCTAGAGTGGTAGCCAGTGTCATGCTCAGAAACATCTGCTTAGTGTTACTGAAACCCTCTTGCAAGGTTCTACTTCCCAGAAACCTCTTGCCGCCTGATATATCCCAAACATGTCTGGATCCCACAGTGACCCAGCTTAGGACTCGGGTTGAGACCTCCTCCACTGTTGGTTCATTACCTTATTATTCATTACCTTATCTGAGGTCTGGGACCAGGTCTACGGTCTCCTCTATAGAAAAGAAATCAAAGCTCAGGGAAGTTAATTAATTTGCTGAAGATCACTCAGTTCAACAGTAGTGGGTCATTGGGCAAAATGCTCTTTTGACTCAGAAGCACAGACCCTGCTGGACATATACCAAGAGGGACCCCCAAAAACTGGAATTGTCTTTTGGAGGGCAGGGCCCTTGTAGTACAGGCTTCCCCACTAGCTAAGTGTTCTAGGAGCCCATCGGCATCCATGGACCAGCTAGCGTTGATGTGAGAGGCTGCGTTTGGTGTCAGTGAATTTTTCTTTTGGAGATTCTTTCAAACCTTTTCTCATGTTATGTTGGGTGATTTACAAACACACCAGCCCCTACCATGCTGAGTGCTTAGCAGTTTTTGACCAAACATGGCACAACCCTGTGCTCCACCCTCCCTGTTCACCCAACCTTGTCCGAGTAACTTTTTGTTTGTTTCCTTGATGAAGAAAGTCCTCAAAGGGAAATGTTTTGCTGATGTGGAGGAAAAAGTGTAGTCTTCCAGTTTTTTGGAGGTTATCATCTCATATTTAGAGACTGTTTCCATGAAGGGAGCCTGGATTGTGCTCCTAAAAATACTGCCACTTGTGAACACCCAATTTGCCGTGCGGCTCTCTGGAGGGGAAGAATGTCGGCGGCCACCATGCTGGTCTCCATCAAAGCAGCTGAGAGTGACCCCTTGGTTGTGCCAGGAAGTCCCTAGTGCCTCCCCAGTAGTCACAGAGGGATAAGGACAAGCCCTAAACCCTTGTCTTAGCTGACAGTGAGCCCTGACTGACTTTGAAGTGATCGTTTCTCCTGAGACACTAGCCAGAGAATCTGGCAGGTTAGAATGGAGTGTTGCCTGAAAGTGAACAAATCTTATCAGCTAAAGCTCAACCTGCCATCAACAATGATTGAGGAACATTGGATTTTAAATTTCCTTGAAGGCAGAGTCTGAGTCTTAGTTCTCTTTGATTCTTCTAGGCCAAGACCTTTGCTCAGTAAATGATTGCTCCATTGAGTTATATATCCCCAAATCCAAAGCCCATGATCTTACAAAGAGTTGATAGTCTAGCAGAGGAGACCAGAGCTACCCACAAAAACCATTTGTGAAAGAGATGAACTTATAGGTTAATTAAGTGCAAAACAATATAGAGCAAGGGAAACACTGTTGCATTCCCTCAGTAACGTCTGCTTTCTGGCTCCACAGAACACAATGGGAGAGCTGTGGGAAGACGTTGGATAGCTTCTTGGAAGGCATGGGTCAGAGAGTAGGTTTGGGTCCTCAATCCTAATTTTTTTTCTAGCTCACCAATGAAATGGATCTCCGCTGTGCTGAGATGAAACAGAACTTTGAAAAAAATAACAGGTATGCTTTCCAGCTTGGGTCCTTGTGTGCTGAAGGCCCAAGGCTCTGTATCTTTGGCGGGAGTTCAGTTCACTGGGCTTCAGACAGTGCCAATTGGGACTGGGTGGCAAGGGGTGGGGGAACCGAGTGAGGCACGTGACTTTGAAGAGCAGGATGGCTTGATTTGACGCTTCTAAAATGAAACACAGAGAAAGTTATTCCTGCTTTGTATTTTATCATCCAATTATTTCATTGCAATTATAATCACCCTTTTCGTTGAGTGCTGAGAAGAGCCAACTTTTTGTTCTCTATGAGATTTCTGTCATAAATAACTGTTGCTTTTAGCCCACTCTCCTCCTCTTCTCCCTCCTTCTCTTTTTCTTTCTTTCCCCTCTACTCTCCCTGGATGCTAAGTCCAGGCCTGAGCAAATCAGGAAGAAGGTGGGAGAGTCAGGAGCAAAGTCAAATCAGGGAGAAATTAAGAGGATGTGGCCAAATATATAGAGACAGGGAATAAGACAGTGGTTACCAGGGTTGAAGTCAGAAAAAAAAATGGGGAGATGTACACCAAAGAATGAAAAGTTACAAATATGTAGGGGGAACAAGTCCAAAGATCTAGTGTAAAAATGAGAATTATATAGTGAATAATTGTATATTATATTCAGGATTTTTGCTAAATGAGCTTATAGCTGTCCTTGACAGGGATTGTAGGGGAGAATGGGTAGCCAAATGAGATGATAGATATGTTAATTTGTTCCACTATAGTAACTATTTTGCCATATAGTACCATCATGTTGTATGCCTTAAATATACACAATAAAATGTAATTTTTTAAAAAAAGGAGGGTTGTGTCTCTGTGGGTGAAGAGAATCTCAAAGGCCCCCTCCAGGCTACCTGCTGGGCACCAGAGCAACCTCAGAAATCCTGGTGAAGAGACAGCACCCTTAGTTGAGTCCAAGCTATTTATTTATAGACTTTATTTTTTGGAGTAATTTTAGATTTATAGAAAAATTGACAGACATGTACAAAGAATTCCCATGTACCCCCCCGCCAAACAAATTCAATCAAATTAAACCCAAAGAGGAATACACCAAGACACATAATAATCAAGCTATCAAAAATCAAAGACAAAGACAAATTTCTGAGAGCAGTGAGAGGTAAGAAACATATCACATACAAAGAATTGCCAATACAGCTATAATTTCTCAGCAGACATCCTGCAGGCCTGGAGACAGTGGGATGATATATTCAAAGTGCCAAGGGAAAAAACTGCCAACCAAGAATATTTTAGCAAACCTGTTTTCTTAAAATGAGAAAGAAATACAAATCTTTCCAAGCAAAAGTTAGCGGTGTTCATTACTATTACACCTTACTATTGCACATTACTATTATGGAAATTCCAAACAAAGTTTTTTTAAGCTACTAATTAGTAACATGAGTTATATGAAAGCACAAAATTCAATGGTATAAGTAAAATAGAACGGTATTCAGAATTCTCTAAAGCTGTAATAGTAGTGTGTAAGGCAGTTTTATTCCTAGGATGAGGATTAAAAAAACAAAACTATTTGTTCCTAAAGGTTTATTTTCATTTTTATGATTTTTTTTGTTTGTTTATTTTCTTTGAGATGGGGTGCCACTATGTTGCTCAGGCTGGTCTCAAACTCTTGGGCTCAAGTGATGCTCCTGCTTCAGGCTCCCAAAGTGCTGGGATTATAGATTTGAGTCACCGTGCCCATGTCCAGCTGAAAAACAAAACTATTAATGACAACTATAGCTAAAATAAGTTATCAAAGATGCACATTACAAAATGATGTAAATTCTGACATCAAAACCATAAAATGTTGTGAGTTGGGTAAAAGTATAGGGTTGTTGTATGCAATTAAAGTTAAGTTGTTACCAACTTGAAATAGACTAAGTACAATATGTTCTATGTAAGCCTTATGGTAGTCACAAAGCAAAAATATTTAGTGGAAGAACAAAACACAAATAGAAAGGATCCAAAGTATACCACTACAGAAAAACCACCAAACCACAAAAGAAGAAAACAGAAATAAAGTATCTACAAAACAACCAGACAACAATTAAGAAAATGGCAGTAGTATGCCTATATCTATTTATAATTGCCTTGAATGTAAATAGATTAATTTATCTAATAAAAAGGCATAGAATGAACTAGACATGGTGGCTCACGCCTATAATCTCAGCCATTTGAGAAGCTGAGACAGGAGGACTGCTTGAGCCCAGGAGTTCAGGACCTGCCTGGGCAACATAGTAACACCTCATCTCTACAAAAAATAAAAAATTAACCAGGCATGACGGTGTGGGTCTGTAGTCCTAGTTAATCAGAAAGCTGAAGCAGAAGGATTGCCTAAGTCCAGGAGGCCGAGGTTGCAGTGAGCTGTGATCATGCAGTGAGCTGTGATCACTGCACTCCACCCTGAGCAACAGAGTAAAACTACAACTCAAAAAAAAAAAGAACCAGCTACATGTTGCAAATAACTTACTTCACCTGTAAGGCACCTGAGCATTCCTCCTAGAGTCTGAGGTCACCTCACTCAACTTGCTGCTACCACCACAGCTATCACTTACCTGCACATGCCATTAGCAGGTCTGAAGACCAGGTTACCCAACCTGTCACAGTCACTGCCAGTACCAGTGAGTACCACTTGGGTCCCAGAGGCTTCTCCCACTATTGCTACGGCCATCAGTCATACCACATCCACTGCCTGGGGGCCCAAGAACCCACACACCTGCCTGGGCCACCACTGTCACTTCTGGCACCTTGAGTACACCATCTAAAAGTACAATGATTATGCCATCTAAAAGTACAATGATTGGACTTACTAAGACTGTTGCCAGTGTATGTCATCCTGAGGCCCAAGGATAGACAAACTCATCCCATAAAACTAGAAACCCATAATAAGAAGAACTTTGGAATTATGAAAATACATGGAAATTATACAGTATGCTCCTGAATGACCAATGAGACAATGAAAAAATAAGATGAAAATAAAAACATTTTTTGAAACAAATGAAAACGGAAGAACAGCATACCAAAACCTATGGGATATAGGGGAAAAAAAAGTGCTAATAGGCATAAACAACTGCATCAAAAAAGTAGAAAGATTTCTGATAAACAATCTAACAATGCACCTCAAGGAACTAGTAAAACCTAAAATTAGCAGAAGAAAAGAAATAATAAAAATAAGAACAGAACTAAGTGAAATAGAGACTAAAAAAACACAAAGAATCAACAAAACAAAATATGTTCTTCAAAAAGATAAACAAAATTGATTATTTACTAGCTAGACTAACCTACTAAACTACTAACTAGAAAAGAAGAGAGAAGACCCCCCCCCAAAAATCAGAAATGAAAAAGGAGACATTTCAAGTGATATCATAAAAATACAATCATCAAAGACTATTATGAACAACTATACGCTAACAGACTGGAAACTGGTCAATAGATAAATTCCTAAAACATACAACCTACCAACATGGAATCAGGAAGAAATAGAAAACCTGAACAGATGAATAATGAGTAGCAATATTGCATCAATAATAAAAAGTATCCCCAAAAGTAAAACCCAGACTAGATAGAGTCTTTGCCAAATTCTACAAAACATACAGAAAAATGAATACCAATCCTCCTCAAACTCTTTCCAAAAAATTGAAGAGACAGAACTTCTTCCTAACTCATTCTGAGGCCAGCATTACCCTGATACCAAAACCAGACAGCAACACAACAAGCACAGAAAACTACAGGCCAAATCTCTGATGAAACAGATGCACAATTCTTCAATAGAGTACTAGCAAAACACATTTAACAATACACCAAAAGATAATATGCCATGATCATGTAAGATTTGTACCAGGAATGCAAGGATGGTTCAGCATATGACAATCAATAAACATGATACATCACATCAACAGAATGAAGGACAAAAATAATATGATCATCTCAAAGATGCAGAAGTATTTTATAAAATTTAACATCATTTCATGATAAAAATTCTGAACAAACTAAGCATAGAAGGAACATACCTTAACATAAGAAAGGCTGTATATGACATGTCCACAGCTAACATCATACTGAATAGAGAAAAGTTGAAAGCCTTTTGTCTAAGACCTAGAACAAGGCAAGGACACCTACTTGAACCACTCCTACTCAACATAGTACTGGAAGTCCCAGCCAGAGCAAACATGCAAGAGAAGTAATACGAAGCATCCAAATTGGAAAAGAGGAAGCAACATTATTCCTCTTTGCAGAAAATATGATCTTACATCTGAGAAAAAGAAAGACTCCACCAAAAAAACTCTCAGAACTGATAAACATTTCAATAAACTTATGGGATACTGACTCAACATACAAAAATCAGTTGCATTTTATAAACCTACAATGAAATTGCCAAGAAAGCAAGCAAGAAGGCAATAATATTTACAATGTATACAAATAAAATCAAATACCTAGGAATAAATGTAGCCAAAAAGTTGGAAAACCTCTGCAAGAAAAACTACAAAATACAGATGAAATAAATTGGAGAGTACACAAACAAATGGAAAGGCATCCCATGTTCACGAATTGGAAGAATTAGTATCATTAAAATGATTATACTGACCAATGCAATACAGATTCAGTGCAACCTCTATCAAATTACCAATGCCATTATTCACAGAAAACAATTCTAAAATTCATATGGAATCAAAATGAGCCAGAATAACCAAAGCAATCCTGAGGGGGAAAAAATGCTGGAGACATCACACGACTTGACTTCAAAATATATTACAAGTCTGTCATAAGCAAAACAGCATGGCATTGGTATAAAAATATTCATATAGCCCAATGGAACAGAACAGAGAACCCAGAAATAAATTCATGTAATTACAGTCAACTGATCTTCAACAGAGCTGTCAAGAACCTACAATAGGGAAAGGACACTCTCTTCAGTATAAACAGTGCTGGGAAAACTGAATATCCATATGCAAAAGAATGAAATTAGACCCCTATCTCGCACCATATA